TACATTTGGTAGAATTTCTTTTTCTTACTAATTTCTTAAATAATGAATTATAATGGTTTGGAGGTAACCCTGTGTTGTTTTTGCAGTATAATATTTACTATCATTGTTAGTTGCTATTGACTGAAGTAGATACAAAGAATAGCGATTTTAACTTCAAGAAATTCTGATTCTGCTATAGGAAACTGGAAGACTGATAAATTTTCAGTACTTTAGCACCTTAAAAGATATTTCATTAGGAGTCAGAGAAAGGAAGATAACATATCCAAATACATTCAAATTTAGATCCATGTTGTCCTCCCTATTTTGCTTATATTGATTGTAGCTTCTACTACATTATTCCGTCATCTCTAATCAGTGACCACACAAACCAAAACTAAACTAAACTAAACTCAACTAAAAATAATCCTAATCCTTGGTTTTCTTGAGCAACAGCACTATTGTTTGAACTGCTATCATATACTCTTCAAATCATCTCAAACTCAAAACTCTCTCTGGTTTCCCATGGTGACCTGTCTCCTCAACTGTGTTTCTAAGTAACAATGATATCCTCTCAGTTGTATAATATATATATATATGTGTGTGTGTGTGTGTGTGTGTGTGTGTCAATGAATTTTTCAGTTCTTGCGTATTTTTCATTTGCAAAAGTTTAAATCTCATCATCATTTCTTTGCTTAAAAATACTGACATGTCTACCCCATCTGAAATACTATATATAAAATCTAGTCTGAATCAGAAAGTTCTTAATTATCAGATCCTGGCTTTTGATATCTAGTTTTCTCTAATTTTCACACATGGGTCAAGTGCAATAATTCTCACTCCTCACTTGCATGTAGTTTTTAAAGCAATAACACTTCCAAATACCTTTAAAGACTAACTACAACAACATGACTTACCACAGGATATTCACAACTTTTTATTTGTTTTGCAATAGTAAAATATAACCTTAAAGCAAGGGCTATAATCATGATTAAATAATTGGAGATAATTGCCCAGCAGGAATGTTTTAATATATTAAAGAGCTATGGCCCATGAAATAACCCTTTTCCTGATTCTAAATGACTACATCCTATATGTGAAATTGCTTTCATTGTCTCCTTCTCTAGCTTTATTTATTTTAAATCAATATTTCCTCAATATACTAATATATATTTCTAAAATACATAGTTAAAAATACTAGCTTATCACTTGCAGGACTCATTTGATCTGAGAATTTGCAGAAGTCAATCATGTTGGGCTATGATCTGGCCTAGCTCTTCAAATAAATTTTCTACAGTGAATTCAAAATGGGAATTAATATAGAATGTTCTGAAGAAAACAATGATTTGTGAGACAATTTGAAAAAAAATATATATATATGTATTTCTCTTTGCTTTTCAGGTTACATAAAGAGCATAGATTATTATCAAATATGGAGCCAAATAGAAGAAACTTTATATTAATCTTGAAATTGTTTCATTCCCCAGAAAGGCCAACTCAGCTGTTTAAACTCTTCTAGCGTATTAAACATTCAGTTAGATATCCAGACATTTCCATAACAATATGTTGGTGCATAGAAGATTAGATATTATTCCTACATCTTGATCCGTGAGGCCTCAGGAATTAACAAAGAATTTAAAATAATCAGTGTGTTCAAAGAAAGTTCATGCTGTAAGTGTTATAAGACGTAGAGGATGTGAACTCAACATTATCTATGTATTCTATCTTTCCTTCTTTCTCGCCTCTTTGTAGGATTTGCTTAGAAGGAATTCTTTATTATTACGGCTCTTTAATCTACTTTTGAATTATGAAATGTTTCACGCACACAGACTGTGAAGAGTAACACATTAAAATTGTAATGTCATGTGCTACTTTGCCAAGTATTGACACTTCATGATCCTGAGCTTAGTTTTGTTTTAAAGAAATAAAAGTGAGTAACTGAGACCTTCACTTTTTTATGATATCAACCTCTCATCTTGAATTGAGGGCTTGCCTTCCCCCAAATGTCTTTGTTATTTTCGGTCTTACCTATGAATTCATATATCCACAAGCAGTATCATAATCTTATTTAAACTAGAGATCGCCTGTAAAATTTTGTTTACTTTCCTATACTCCTTGACTTTTTTTCTTTCAATGTTACTGTTGCTACATGCAGTCCTTTTTTAAATTTTATTTTCTTATGAAGATGCTGGACAGAGAGGTTACAGTTACACAAATAATGTAATGAGTATATTTCTTGTTGAGCAGTGTTACCCCCTCCCTTTAACCTTGTTTCCTATTTTAATTTTGTCTCAGTTTTGGGGGTACCAGGGAGCTGAACTTGGGCCCTTGAGATGGTTAAACAAGAGCTCTACACCAGAGTCAGGCCAGCCAATTCTTTCTTTTGTGCCATATTGCAGTTATATATTTTTTCTTTATTTCTTTCTTTTGTTCCTTTAGTTTTTAATTTTTATACACATTGAATCTACTATTGTATGTGAAGAAAAGTGTCTCCAGATTATGTACTACTTGTGAATAGCTTCTTGGCCTATATATATTTTAAATTTCTTTGTGTATGAAAATCCCTCTCTCCAGCATAGGAGTTAATACCAATCACTTGTATGCAAGTAAAAGTGTATCAATTGACAAGGTCACTGCATTTGCAAGTTAATCTTCCTGAGGAAGAGTTTTCTTGATAAATAAGGCTATGGAATGCAATGATTATGAATACTTTCCATTCTCAATTTAAGTGTTACATTTTCTTCACTATCTTGAAAATTATTCATGTGTCTGTATTCAAACAATTACATGTAGATGTTTTTAATGATGAATTTCTTATTATATTTACAGTGACCCATACATCATTTCTGAGATTTAAGACTTCTTCTATTGTCTGAAAGGATAGCCTTATTCCCTCATTCTAATATTGAAACCTTATTCCTCAAAGTCATAGTGTTGGGAAATTGGGACTTTGGTGGGGTGATTAGGTCATGAAGGTAGAACTCTGACTAAAAGAAGCAACGACTTTATGAAGTAGGGGCAAAGGAGATGGTTTTATCTTTCTATCCTGTAGGAACACAGAAAGAAAGTACCTGATGAACTAGAAAGTTGCCCTTACTAATACTACAGACACGGAATCTACCAGTAGCTTAAACTTGAGCTTTCATGACTCCATTATCTGTAAGGAATAAAGTCTATTGCTTACAAGGTACCACTTTATGGCTGTGTGTTAAAGGTGGTTGGGGGGAGAGTGAGCATGGTTAGGGCCTAGGCACCATCTCTAAGCATTTGCTCAAGCTAGTGCTCTACCATTTGAACCACAGCTTTATTCCCGGCATTTTTTGGTGATTAGGTGGAAATAAAAGTCTCACTGACTTTTCTGCTTAGACTGGCTTTGAACCATGATCCTCAGATCTCAGCCTCCTGAGTAGCTAGGATTATAGGTATGAGTCACAGGTGTTGGACTTCACCTTACAGTTACATGAGCAAGGTAATGAATACATTTCCTATCAAGCATTGTTACCTCCTCCTTTGTTTTTCCTCTATCATCCCTTCCCTCTTAACCTCCCTAACTCCCCTCTCCCCCTCCAAGCTCTCAAGTTCGTTTTCAACATAGTGTCTTATACATCTAATTGTTACAATGGGTCAACCTGTATCCTTGTTTCAGCATTTTTTTAGTTCCCTTCCCTTCCCCAAATTAGAAAAATGTATAACAAGATGCAGCACTGACATCAAATACAGTGAAAACAGGGGTGATACTGTGGGGGAAAGAACATAAAAGAGAAACCAAAAAATCACATAGTACATTTTAGATACAGTAAAAACAATAGCAAGAAATTAAAAACATGTGTCCCTATATCGGGGTTCACTTCACTTGACATCATCTTATATGATCATATGTACATAGCTTTTGACCTTTTCTGCTTGTCTCAGACATATACTAGTTATTGCAAATAAGAGAAACCATGGGAGCTATGTTTCTTTGGGCCTGGTTTACTTCACTTAATATAATTTTTTCCAAGTATAATTTGGGGAGGGGTGGGGAAATAATAAAATGCTGAAATAAGGATCCCGGTTGACCCATTGTAACAATGAGATGTACAAGACACTATATTAAAAACAAACTTTACAACTTTGGGTGGGGGGAGGGAAATGATGGTAAGGGAAAAACAAAGGAGGGGGGTAACAATGCTCCATAGGAAGTGTACTCATTACCTTACTCATGTAACTGTAACCCCTTTGTACAGTATCTTTACAATAAACAATATATATTAAAAATAAGAATAAGAAAGAAGCCGGGCGCCGGTGGCTCACGCCTGTAATCCTAGCTACTCAGGAGGCTGAGATCTGAGGATCGCGGTTCAAAGCCAGCCTGGGCAGGAAAGTCCGTGAAACTCTTATCTCCAATAAACCACTAGAAAACCGGAAGTGGCGCTGTAGCTCAAGTGGTAGAGGGCTCGCCTTGAGCTGAAGAGCTGAGGGACAGCGCCCAGGCCCAGAGTTCAAGCCCCACGACCGACAAAAAAAAAAAAAAAAGAATAAGAAAGAATATAATGAGAATATCAAATGTGAAGAGATTTGTTTTTTCCTTTCACAAATGAGTTTTCAGGAAATATTTTCATATGTAAATATTGCTTTTGGCAAGGTTTCTTTACTCCATCTAGGAATAGAGACTAGCTGAAGCTAGTCTTGAACTCTGGGTCTTCTTGCTTTAGCCTTTTAAAATATTTTGTTCAATTCAATTATATGCATAAAATTTCCTTAGAATATTTAGACTGTAAAAAAAAATCACAAATCAATACTGTTTATAATTATACAAAACTGTTTATGTTTTATTATAATACAACCAAATATACAATTAACAATTCGTGTTATTTTATACTACAAGACTACATGTCTTTAAAAATACCAAGTTGTAATTTCAAAATTGAATCCTACCTACTTCCAATGCTAGGATTAAATTACAAAGTTAGTTATACGTTCTTTTCAGGTTCCGGTCTTTTTTCCCTCAATTTAAAAAATGGGGAATGTTTTGATTTTGTATAATTTTAGCCTCATGTGTAAACTGAATTATTTATATATTGTGAACATTTGTTATGAAAAGTAAGTATCTTTTTACAAAACTTTCAAATACATTACTATCTTAAACTATTCCCAAATAAGGCTAACCAATTAAATCATGTTTTCTTAGAGAGATGTAACAGAGATGGTATTTTCAGTTTTGATTTTCATTTGTCTTAGATATATATATATGTATATATATATATATATACATATATATATGGAGTACATCACATATGAGGTTTAAGATAACCAGTGTTTAATGAAAGTTATCACTTAACTTTGTTATTTTGTAGATAACAGAATACCAAGGTCTCCTTAAACATTGAATCATCATTATCTTTTAGAAAGAGGCATTGAAAATTACATTTTATTTAAGTCCATACAACTAAAAAAGAATAAAATATAACAGCACATGAAGAATCAAAATACAGATGAAGGAAAATTCAAAATTAGACCACTCTGTAGCCAGTATATTAAGTGAGCATTATTTCAGACAATTCAATGATAACATTATGCATTCTACCACTGTTGTGGCTTCTGCCAATTGCTAACTTTTTTATGACTATTTTGAATTTCTTAAATAATTTGAATGTTTTTCTAAAATGTTTACTCAATCAAGAGAATGCAGTGTTTTGAGTGTTTTGGGAAAGCAAAAAAGGGTGTACATAAATTATTAGACTTCATTTCTAAACATACTTAAAATTCCCAATAAATTAAATGTAAATGAATGCAGTCAAGCCGTATTTCACTTAGCAGCATAAATAGCTGGAATGAAATGCAGAAAGAAACAGGGAAGGAAGTCAAAGACATAGGTATCAAACGCACAGAGAAAGATCAGAAAATATTAATTAAATAGACTTTTGCCATAGTGTTCATTTCTTTGCATACTTGAAACTGAACTCTAATTTACTTTTCTCATTATCTCAAGAAAAACTTCATAAAGTCTTTTTTGATGTGGAAGCTTATATTGTGTTTGTAAACAATATATTCACCCTATTCCTCTAAGTATCCTGGACTACTGAAAGGTTAAAATAACTAAATGAGCTTTAAGTATCCTCTATGTTTAAAATGTATGTTTTTATTATTTTCATATGGGATTTAATTTTAATAAAATACCTCTCTTTTCTTTTAGTTCTGATGAATTCAACATTTTGTATCCAAAGCAACAAGAATTTTATATGTAAGCCATGAAATTGGGTTCCCAATTGTTGTTTGAAGTAAATATTTTAAAAAGAAACAGGGAAGTAGTTTGGACATTCAGACTTGGGTGAAAATTATTTTTTACAAGTCAGTCTTAATATTTCAGCTTTTTGTAATTTTCCAAAAACCATCCATATTTGAATGTTAATAACATTACAAATGTAATGTCCGGTATATTACAAATAGTTTTAAATCCTTTAAAAATAATGCATGGCTCCAGTTCCACCTTGCTCTGAGTTCACTATAAATTAATAGCAAATCAATAATTACAAACATTCTAAAACCCTTCAGATGTGGGAGGGGTGTTGTATCTTCCTCATTTATTTTGAATGTGCATCAGTTAAATGTACAAGGTGTACAAGGTGTCACATCTATTAATTGTATGCAGTTCTTTCTAAAAGAGTGATTTATTATAGTTTGCTTTTACTAAATTAGTTCCTTAAATTTTCTTTACCAGTAAGATATCTCCAAATATTCATGAGTACAGTATGAAAGAGGGTACTTAACCTCATATGTATGTGTGACTTCTTTGAAAATAGGAAGCAATGCACATAAAATAAAGGTAAGATAACGTTCTGAACACAGAGACTGTCACAGACTCAGTAATAAGTTGCCTTCTAAGCACTTTGGTTTCTCACAGACTTTCTTTTCAGAGTATTCAGAATGCATGAGAAATGAGCAAAGTCTGTTATTTAGTTTTCTGAAAAGCCGCCTTCCGTATGAGGAAGTGACTAATTTTTCATTTCACACTTTAAAGGGCGTGAAAAAGGCAAAACAGAAAAAGGCTAAGGGTTGTGTGCTCTAAGAAGGAAAGGTGAGTCCTACTCATACAGAAGGAAATATGCTATGTAGATTCAAAGAAATTGAATTGGAAACATTCAAACAGGCAAATATAATATGGAGGTGTTTATGCTAAAGCTTGGAGTTGTGGTGGGTATTGTTAAGTTACTAAAACATTGCTACTTGAATCACAACATATCTCAGAAAATCAAAAAGGTTGACTGAAGTAAAATATGTCAAAGAGTTAATTTAACCCTTTCCGTTGTCAAATTTTTACATTTAATTGTTTATTCAACAAATAGCTCCAATGCTTGTAATCTACTTAATTATCTCTGTATTATATATCATTTTCAAAGATAATCCAATAATGCAATATGCAAGAGAGAATAAGGACGTAAATAGAAACTATGTAAAGTATGTCAATTATTTAGGAAGACAACTAGAAGCAATACATATTGAAATACCATTGGTTATAAATAAACTATGTTCATCTTTCCCATGGTCCTTTAGAAATTTTACTTTTCCTCAGACTTTTGCTGGCAGTTTATAATAATTTTGACTTTAAAAAATAGATGAGTTACACATTGGCAGCTACTTATTCTCCAGTGAAAAGGGCTCCATTACATTTTGTCCACTTTATTTGTGATTCTTCTTCCTTTTCATGGGGATCTGAGTTATTCCCAAAGCCAGAATTTATGGCTGTCTCTCCTTCAGTTCCCTAACAAATCCCATCTGCATGTTACCATTCGAATGCAGTACACATCATGATGTTTCTTTTACGTTATTAAAACATTTTCTCATATCTCATTAGAATAGGTATCAAGCATCCTCTCCCTGTGGAGCTTAGCATGTATTCTAGAAATATATAACCAAGCACCAATTTCTGTCTGTGAACTTGTTCCTCCTTACAAATCATAAGGAATCCTGTGAGGGGAATTAATGCCCTTCAGTAAATCAATGTTGCAGTACACTGAATGTAACCCTTGTGGGCTGAAAGAAATAATGTACCTCTACAAATCTCCACACCTATTTCCAAAAGAAAATGACTCATTGAGAGAGTTCCTGTTAATACTCAGAGCTGTTTGAATGTGTGTCTTCTCTCTATTTCCTACCATAAGACAACCAGTTCTGATATGGAATGATTTATCAATTCCTAAGAATACAGCACAAGAGCATGGTGAGCCCATGCTTAATGCCATATAAAAATTTGAGGCTTGCTTAGCTTAAATATTTACATGATAAAATAAATTCAAAACATAAACCATTTACCCATGTAAAGCTGCTATTTTGCAGATAATTCTTAGAGTTTCCATTCTTGGAATAACTGGTTCAGGTGGAATTTCTTGCCCCTACTATCCCGTATTTGCCATATAGAGTGCTATTCAGTCCTATTCAGGTTATTGTTTTTGTTCCTTAGAAAAACTCCATGGAAAATATTTATGAGTTAGTAAGAGAAATGTACAAAAGAGAAGACTGTAATATGTTTGCAGGTAAATGATTCTTTGAAAAAAATTAAATAGAAAACTATGTAGATGCAGCTCAGAGATGCTCATCCAGGTCTCTGTGATGTCTTCTATTTCGTTTCTTCTTCATTTCCTGCATGTGCTTCCACTTTGGGCCGCCCTTGTTTCTCTGTCTCCGCTTTTCTCTGTGCCACATCTGTTCACAGTACTGGTCCAGGCTGAAGTTTGGGCTGCTAAGGATTTGGATATAGTCTTTGTATCTCAACCGTGACTCAGCCAATAGATCCTTGACCTGCCCCTCCTCATGCTCTACCCTCTGGGTATTTTCCATCTGCTCATTCTCTATGACATTCAAAGTCAGCTTCACTACGGTGTGGATGAAAGTGTGCTCCTGTGCTTTGCAGTAATACATCCCAGAGTCCTTCTTCTGCAGACTTCGAATCAGTAGCCCATATTCGGTTTTGATGATCCTTTCATCGGGTTTCAACTGCAGGATTGGAAAAAATGTAGGTAATAAATTGGAAACAGAGAGGGCTATGAGCAAATGAAAACAGGCTACACAGCTTCACGTAGATGAACCCAAAAGATATATTCCTCATCTTTCTGTCATCAAGCCATATCATGAGCCATAGTTGAAGAGAATTCAAGTAGCAGGCATTAAATTATATCTTGAAATTTTAACTTTTAAGTCTAACTGAATTCATTTCTTTCTCCAGTGCTCATCGAGGAAATAAGAACAATAGACAAATAAATGCTTGTGAGAAAAAATAATAAATTAAAACTGGATACTATCAGCTGATATTTACAGAAATTTGAGATAGGGATTAGTGTACTAAGATCACAAATTGGCATCTCCTAATGTAGGATTAATAGTCACTAGACAGAAAAGGCAGTTGAGCAAATTCTACTAGAGTAATGTAGGTGAGAACAATGATTCCAAATGGAAATTACTCTGTTTTCTAGCTATCACCAAAGAAATGATCTGAATAGCATATGGAATCAGTAAGTGACTTGTTCAAGTCAAGTGGAAAGGCATGACTACAGATTTTGGACGTCAGAACTGTAACTGAGCAGGGCCCTTGTCAGAAGGTTAGCAACATTTAAAGCTAAATTTCCCCTAGAACCATGGACTGCCTTTCAATCCCATGTGTATATGTGATACTTCTGACTGTGTCATTTGTGAAGATTTTTGTCATGCCTTGGTATACTCTCACATGGTAATATGATTTCAAGTGTGAGAAAGCAGAATGAACAAAAAGATCCTCCTCTGAAATGTGATGCTCATTACCCTTTGAAGCAATGTTACTGAAAGACAATTCAAATGTTGAGCCTGCTTGGCCTACAGTCTGGTGTGAATAGGGAACTATCTTTTTATACTAGAGGCATGTTTACCAACACAAGAGCCCTGTTTAATGTGGAGTATTGTTGGATGGCTAGGCATGAAATGAAATAACAACAACAACAGCAAGAAAGAAATCTGGAAGATTTCCCAGTTTACGCATCTGCCCCTGTACTGTAGACTTTAGCTGATGGAAATCAAGGAGGCATAAAGACGACTAAATTAAATTTATTCACAGTGGGTGGACTGTGCTCTGCATCTTTATGTGAAAAATATGTAGGAAAAAAAAACTCTGGCTAATTCTGGAAATATGAGAAAAGGAAAAGAAACAGCTCTGGCAACCAGCCCAGCTAACTAACAAGTATATGGTGAACCACCCTCTGTGGCAGAGTAGAGCAGCTGGTAGGGTACCATCTGAGGCCAAAGGCAGGTCACAGCTCAGATCTCTGGTTAATGAGGCTGAATGGCGTCCAGGCCTGCCTTTGCTCTGCACTGAGCCCACACCATCAGGGCTTCATTTGTTTGTTTATTTCTCTTATTTTGCCCAAGAGTTGGGCATTTGTAAACGCTATTGTCATACAAACTAACCTGAAGTTCATTTGCATTCCCATATACCATAGGAATCTCCTGTCCAAAATAAATATAGGCATGCATCAGTAGAGTTCTTAATGGACAATGTTAAACAGAAGTAACAATCTCAAATTTAACACAGTATGTGTATTCACTTCTTTAAAAAAAAAAAAAAACTTCATTGTGAGAGTTATTTTAAAAAAGACTAACTCCTTATTATATCAAAATTATTGGCTCCATAGCATGAGTTTGTGTCTCTATCTGGGTTTCCTTGACAACTCATTTATCTTCCCTATTGGTTTCTCATCTATCACGTTGGGAGTTAGCATATGGTCTATTTGGGGGGTTAAAAGCAAAACTTGTTGAAGGTTAAAGTGTGAAGTATTATCAATATTGTAAGCATTATCATGTTCTCAAGAGATAATGCTCTGAAGCTTTTGTCTCTGCAAATTTTTTACTAGAAAATATGTAGTGGTTATGAGCATGACAGGTTGGTCTCCGTCAGCTCTAACTCATCTCTATATTTTCTTTATACAATCTGTATTCTCACTAATATTTAAACCACACTTAATTTGGAGATCAACAGAGCTATGACTCTGAATTTATTGTTTCCTTTCATTTTTGGACAGGAAAAAATAATTTTTTATACATACTAGACAGCAGCTCCCATTATTATTTTTGCTGTTTCCTTTTTATATCCTGTTTTTGTTGCTTTACCCTGAGATCTAGTTCCCTTCCCTCCTTTCTACTCATTCTCCATCCCGACAGGAGTCAAATTTCATAAAACCTGGCATTTCATGATTTGCTTAAGATCTTTTACCGTTTCCTTACTCCATGGAATGCTTAATTTGTTCATCAGTTTTTGACCTAAAACTTACTCTAACAAATTCTGGGCTTTATGTGTTTATGTAAGATAAATACCTAAGATTAGATCACTTAGCCAATTTCTTGTTTCCTGTCTAAAATTTCAGAAATATGGCTTTAATTAAATGGCATCACTAATAAAATGCATTTTTGACTTGGCATATTTTGTAGGATTCTGACAATTTAGAGATTAAAATCTGTGACCCAGAAATTAAGTAGTTGATTAACATTCGCCTACTTTACATTCCCATTCTCTGTAATGCTTTCATTCTGAGCCAGAACAGGATAGATTATGCAGACTGCATCTAAATGGTGAAATGCTCACAGCCAACTTAAAATATTCAGTTCTTCCACAAAGAGATAACATAATCTCTAGCCACCGATTTAAACTCATGGAGTTTTCTTCACTCTAAAATGATAAACAAATACTACTGTGTTTTATAAATCAAAACCTGGCTGCAACTGGGGTCGACTACCCATTTGCCTCAGGTGAACAAAAATAATTATTTGACATTATATGTAGATCTTCAGTGAAGCGTTATTCATTTAGAATGAGAAGAGAAGCAGGAAAGGGACAAAGGCCATTTAAGTACTTGGCAGCAGGTAAAGGTCAAAACTTTATCTCTGATAATAGGATCTTAATGGCAATTCCTTTACAGATAATTCACCTGTCAGTTCTTCAGAGATAAGTCATTGCTCATGTCTTGAAGAAATTAGAGCTTCAAAAATCACCTTTCCTAAAACTAGAAAATAGTGTTAAAGATAAATAGTTTTAAATTTTGAAGAAAACTTTGGGTGTGAAAAGGGAAATATACAATTGTTGCCAAAAGTGTGTTTATATTTAAAATAAAGCATTGTCAAGTCTTCTAATTTAATATGGAAGAAAAGAAAAACAACTGGAATAAGATGACTTGCATATATATGAGCTTATATGATGAATCTGTTCATATAATACATGAACAAGAATTGATACTTCTGGGCAAACAGGAAAAGACAAACACTCTAGAGTGTTAGACCAACTGGATAATAATTTTTTAAAATATGAAAAGTATGTATATATAGTACTAGAATTATTTAATATATTTGAGTAAATACAAATGTAAATTATATAGGATAGCATAAAAAGAAAATCATAAAATACTATATACACATATATGCTGCCTTATTTAGGAAAAAAGTTTCTAAGTGTGATACTTGATATAAATCAGTGGATTTGCCTACTACACATAGGAAAGTTCACAGTAAAATTAGGAAGTGTTATCACACGAAAAATACATCACAAAATAAAATAACTTGTAATGTGAACAACAGAAAATCGTTAGTGTCTCTAATAGAGTAAAGTATTGAGGAGAATATGTTTAAATGAGAAGAATATGTTTAAATGAATCTCTCCATGAACATTAAACAGATAAAAGCACAAACAAACAGCTAAGAGGTAAAAATGGATGTTTACATACACCAATATTCAAAAAATATGAAAAGTATATATTTTCAAACTGGTGTTTTCTTAAATTATACTGATTTAATTAATTGCTTCAGTTTAGAAGATGAGTTAATACAAAGATTTTATGGGGAAATTACCATTATGTTATTGTCCAGTAAAAATTGATAAAGATAACTAGCATCTTTAAATTCATTTTCTTTTCTTTTTGAAATTTCTTCTAAGAAAATAGAAGTGTAGGGAAAATGTTAAATATTATGAAACATCACTTTTTTCTTAAAAAATAAACACTCATTTAAATAAATTACAAGGTGCTCTCAAATGACTATCAGGCCAAGGAGAGTTAATAGAATTATGGTATTAACAGCCAACTGACTCCAACAAATGCTGCCATTACAATAGTGAGCAAAGGAACACGAAAAAAACACCAAAATATTACTTCTGCTTATCTGGAACTAGTGTTGTAATAATCTTTCCTGTGTTATTACAATTGAAAAATACCCCTATTCCTTTCATAAAAAAATAAGTAAATTAATGACATGCAAGTATGTGTGTGTGTGTTGCATGAACTTGAACCTAGGAATTATATATGTAAAGCAAGTGCTCCATCATTGAGCTCCATCCCCAGACTTTTGAAGGTATTTTAAAATTATTAAAATCTACAAAATGAAAATAATACGGTAAATAGTGTAAGGTACTGCTTCCTATTCATTCACATCCCAAAAATTCAACAGAAGTTTGAGGATGGCCTATTAACTTGCTAGTTACAGTATAACCATCATCATTTCAAGAACAGCTTTATAAGAAAGTCAGCAAATAACTGACTCATTTGACCTCCGACAGCACCCAACTGAGAGAGTGCTCAGTAAGGAAATGTTCTCCTCCTGGCAGAGAATAACCTGGTGACAGCCACAGTGCCACGGGAGATCATGGTACTTCCCTGGGGCTCTTTTGAGAAGAGGAAAGATTCCAAACTGTGACCTTGTGGGTAAGGAGCAGAAGGCATCCTGCTGGGGAAAAGCCTCCAATGCAGTCTGAACATTGCCCTTTCCTCAGCTCAGGAAGCAGTGTTGCATATCCTGGACAGAGGGAAACTGCCCATTTGCAATAACAAATGAAAGTGTCAGTTGAAATATTTGAGCTAAGATACTTTTAAGTAAAATTCAATAAATACACTATTTCGGCTCCATTGAAATTCATAGAGCATGGTACCATTGTGATTGTTAGAGGCTATTTAATAAAATGCACAGAAATATTTTGGAAAAATGAAAGATGTGAATGCAAAGAAACCTAGATGAACATAGTATCCACAGCTGGAAGATTACCTCAAGTGGTGGTAATCCACATTTAATTTGCTATGGAGGAAAAAAAATACTTTCGAAAAGATTTTTTTAACTAGGAATAAATTATGAAACTTGTAAAACTAAAAATATTGCTTTATTAAACTCTCTAGTATAGGCAATAGTGAGAGTTTGGGAGGCAAGGAATGAACAGAAAACGTGAAGGAAGCTCAGTATGGTCAAAATACCTCATGAACACTTGGGCTAATGGAACAATGGATTTGCTCAGATTAGCTATTGAAAAGGAGAGAAGGGGATGAGAAGGAGTTCAAGAGGGCCTGAGACTGATAAAGGGACATTGTATGCAAATATGGACAGGCCAAAGTGAAATTCTCTTGTACAACTATTTGATGCTAATAAAACTGGGGAATGCCAGGCACCGGTGGCTCATGCCTGGAATCCTAGCTACTCAGGAGGCTCAGATCTGAGGATCACAGTTCAGAGCCAACTCAGACAGGAAAGTTCATGAGACTCTTATCTCCAATTAACCACCAGATAACTGGAAGTGACACTATGACTCAAGTGGTAGAGCGCTTGCCTTGAGCTGAAGAGTTGGACAGTGCCCAGGCCCACAGTTCAAGTCCCATGACCGACAAAACAAAACAAACAACAACAACAAACGGTGGAATAAAGTATCACAATGTATGTAAAATAAATCCGTATGATAAAAATTAAGAAAACATCTACCCAATATTTCTTTATTCAAAAGGGGCTTTAAGTTTTGAAATTAAATGATTTTTATTCCAAAAGTAATCCTTTATTTTGAATAACAAAATGTCTACCATTTACATCACCATGTCAGAAGTTGAGATAACTTATCGATCCTCATAATCCCTGTTTATAAACTTAAAATACCCCTATATTCCCATTCCTGAGTTTTTTTATTATTATCATGGTGATATACAGGGGGGTAACAGTTACATAAATAAGGTAATAGGCACATTCCTTTTTGAACAGTGTTTCCCTCTCCCGAGTTTTCCCTCACTTTCCCTCCCCCCAACCTTCCTCTTTCCAAACTATAAAGTTCATTATCAATGTGGTTTCTTGTGAGTATCACTGTTGCATTGAAATTATGTATTTTATAACAGGTGACCTGACCAAATGTCCGCACTCAGAGAAGAATTGCCTAAGTTAGAGATCTACTGTTTTCTACCAATGTTTGATCAGTTTCACTTACGGTTTTATTTATTTTTTTATTATTTTTTATTATTGTGGAAATACCATACAGAGGGGATACAATTACATGGACAAGATAGTGAGTACATCTCTTATCAAGCATTGTGGTTTTAAAATGTATATGGATTTATCAAGGAGGTTGATAAACTGATAACCTGCTCATGATTCTCCTACAGACAAAGCAAACACAGGACTTGTGTTTTCTAATCCTACCCTCAGTGTTATTGTCTGTCCCACACATCCTCATTAATTGAGTATCTGTAATTTTAAATGCAATTTTTATGGAGGGAGAGGCTCTCCTTTGAAACTGTATTTTCTCCTGTGTTCTCTCATTTGCTTTTTATGTAGTAATTTCTGCCACAATCTTTACTAATTGTAGAATGTGAAGGGCAGGATGGTAATTTAATAATTTATATAATATATTTTAATTACACTCAAATTGTCCAAGGAACAGTGAATTTTTTTTTTTTTTTTTGGTCTGTCATGGGGCTTGAACTCTGGGCCTGGGCGCTGTCCCTCAGCTTTTCAGCTCAAGTCGAGCACTCTACCACTTGAGCTACAGCGCCATTTCCGGTTTTCTGGTGGTTTATTGGAGATAAGAGTTTCATGGACTTTCCTGCCTGGGCTGGCTTTGAACCTCGATCCTCAGATCTCAGCCTCCTGAGTAGCTAGGATTACAGGTGTGAGCCACCGGCGCCTGGCAGGAACAGTCATTTTTAAACTTACTTGGTTTATGTCAAAAGTTTGGGCATCTGTGGCTCAATGATATTACTAAAGTTCTCAGGAACATATTTCAATGCAAGGCATCTATTCTGAATCCTGCATTCATTAAATTGCTCACTTAATTTAATCTGAGCACTAATCAAGTTTTCATTGATGCCACAGTAACCATAACTATAATTCTTCCAATAAATTCTTTATTTTTTTTTGTAATATTAGGGGTTAAGGCCAGGGTTTCCTGCATGCTAAGCAAGTTCTTTACCATTTAACAATACTTCCAGTCTGTCACCTAACATACTTCCATATATTGAAATGATATTAATCTAGGATTATTCTTAGATGACTCATAGAGATCTCATAAAATTCTTATAACTGATCTGTGTCATAGAATGTCCATAGTATGTTTTATTCACATGTATATAGCAGGAAAAGTAACAGAATAAAGTGAAAAGAACAGGAAAAATGTACATGCATATGTCCAAATACATCCAATTCATTCACATGATCTGATAAAAATATAAATGCCTCTTGTCATACAAACTCAGCAGGTTTCATTTGTAATCTAAATTGAGCACAATATGAGTTAAAATATTACCGTGATGTATTTAGAGAGTTTTCCAGAAATACAGGAAATCATTAAGTAACTAAAACTTGGGAAAACAAATCATAAAATTTTTGTTCTAAAATTCAGCATGTTTTTAGATACATTTAGAAATAATCTTACCTATTATCAAATTAACCTATTATCTCAAAGTCATCATTAGCTTTGATGGTAGTGAATATAAACTTTCTTTTAATCAAGTAATGATGAGAATAACATATGGCACTAAAAGTTGAATCACTTTTATAACAAACACCTTGATTTAAATTTTATACTATTTCCCTCAAAGAACATTTTTCTGGTTATGATAACTTACCTCCTCTCGATGCTCATCTCCCAACCTCTGGATATACCACTTAATTGATGCTTGCTGGGATTTGGGTATACATTCCAGAAAGGTTGAATTAAATTCAATGCCAAAAATCACCTTTTCATCAGCAGTTTCATGACTAATGCCTAGAAAGCAAACATGGAATAAGAGATTAACCTTGACCCGATTTTAAAAGCAATGGGAAAATAGACTGATTTAGAACAGATGCCATTGAGAAAGAATTGTGCACATTATTAAAGGAAAAGGAAGTTCACTGCTAGAATATTGTTGCCTAATAGTGATAATATACAATAGTAGGACTCCTCAAATTCTATACTCATATTGTAATGTTTTCCTCTTATATCACCCCATTAATAATTTACAAATCTCCTTTGAAAAGTAATTCACAAGATCTAACTCCTAAACACTTGTTTTCTGAGTTCAATAAACCTTTGGTATCCTTAAATGGTTTAACATCTTTCTTTTCGCATAAAATGAAACTACTTTTGATGTTAGTTCTTGAAGAACACTTTGCTTTACTTTGCAGAAAGAATTCCATCTGAATTGGTGTGCAGAAGAGAAAACCTTAAGAAACTTGAATGGCTCAAAAGTAGGTACAGGTCTAAACTTGATGAAAGTCTGTGATGAGAATGAACCAAGATAGAAGACTCAGAATCTACTTTATCCTCTACCTTCTCTTTTTGGGAGATTCCTCAACTCCGCATGCATTGTCTGTGAGACAGTTAATGAGATGTAAGGAACAATATCTCGGACACCTTATTCTCATAAATCAGCCAACATCTGAAATGCATTCCTCTCAGAGTAGCCAAAGGCTGTGTCCCATGTGGGATCTAAGATCTGTAGCTCAAATTTGATCAAATAAAAAATGACAGCTGCTCTGCCTGGCCCATACATGCACTTTTTCATCAGACATTCAAATATCTCAATTCTACAGATGGGCCCACTTAACATTTAGGTATCAACCAAGGACTAAAGCCTCAGGGACCTATGGGATTCTTAAACCAAAGCACACAAAATTATCAGCAAATGGCATGAATGCACATACATGCAAAAGTTAAATTGATTGCAAAGAAAATTCTTTTGAACTTGCATCTTATCTCCATGCTGATATCATTATGGATTAACTTCTTCTAACTTTACATTGTGTGGATAGACTTAAAACTTGTAATCTACTAAATATATCCAGAAATTCTACAATTTTCATAGTTAATTTGTCCCTAATGCACAGATTACAGAAAAGAAAGAGATAGATAATCTCAGACAGAAAGTCTCTTCCAGAAAAAAAGGGAGTTTGTCAAGAGGGTTTGTCAATTGTCATGTTAAGAGGTAAGAGAATGAGGTAATTCAGTTAGACTGATTCATCCAAAAAATGTTATTTTATTAAAATATAACAGTGAAATTAATGAGGAAATTAAATAGTGGCTTCATTATTATGAAATCCTGCCACAAAATTCATTCTCAGGCATTACAAGAAATATTAATTAGGCATTCAAATGGAGTCCTTGAGCAGTAATTGAAGCTTCTCATTTGGAATATAGGGGAGAGTCCAGATTTGACTATGAAACGCAGAGCCAAATAGGCTTTGCTTTTTGGTGAAAGGATATTAGAGAAAGAACAGACAATAGAAGAGTAGCTTTCAGTGCCCAATGCAGCAGTACTTAGAAGGCGAGATGACAAGGAAAACTGAGAACATATGAAAAGTAGAATCTGCAAGTTAAGAGCTAGCGGATCAAAGGAGGGTGAAGATAGTGAAGGGATGACACAGGTCAATATTCATTGTACCCATGAACTGCTTCGTTAAATGGTAAAAGAGGTCCAAGAAAAAGCCCTAAAAACTAAGAAAACTGAAGGAAGGAGTGTGTTCAGAAGGTAGGGTGAAATGTTCAAAGGAGATATTGATCATGAGGCACAGTATTCAAGCTGCTTTCTTGAATGGCAAATCCTCTGTAAGACTACTTAAAGATAATTAAAAAAATACTCAACATAAAATAAGAGGTAAGCCAGAGGAAGCTGACTTTATAAAAGCCAAATGTGCTGGTCTATCATCTCCATGTGACAAAAAAGATTTCTTGGTAATGGTTGCTGCTTTTCCTGTTGTAAAGACTCCCAAGATAGCTGCTTCCATATACGAATGGATTAGAACCATCTCAAAATCTCTTAATAACAAGCACTAGTGTTTGCGAAGCTACATGAACTAACTGGCAGCACATCATCATGAACCAAGTGTTTCAAGAAAGAGATTTGGAAATTAAATAAGAATGAGAACTGAAAATTGGCCATTGGATTTGGCAGAGAAGAAATGGTTGTAGCTTTTATGATAGTAAATGATGATAGACTAGACTGTACAATTGATTATTGTCAGAATGGGGTATGGTGAGGTAGAGACAATAGTTATATATTAGGGAGCAATTGTGCTTCTTATGACATTCTATTATTACTTTTTATTAGTTCTGGGACTTGAATTTAGGGCCTGGGCACTGTCCTTAAGCTTCTATGCTCAAGGCTAGTGCTATACCACTTGAGGCACTCCACTGCTGACTTTTTGGTGTTAATTGAAGACAAGAATCTCACTGTCTTTCTGCCCAAACTGGCTTTGAACTGCCATCCTTAGATCTCAGCCTCCTTAGTAGACAGGAATTCAGGCTTGAGCCACCATCACCTGGCTATATAACATTTCTATATAACATTTCTCATCATTTGCTAGAACATTTTCTTGTTTTGATGTTTGTTTTTGCTCCCTCCTGAAACATTCCCATGAATATATAAAGTTTTTGTGATTGTACATTACCTGTAACAATCCCTCATCAATCTTAGATGAATGTGTAAAATACTGCATACAAAGGACACAGAGAAAATTACAAAATAAACATGGATGTGGCAGTGAGTTTCCTATGCATTGCAATGACAAAGAAGATAGTATTTTTAAAGTAAAGCTTGTTTTTCAGAAGAAGTAAATTCAGTTAAAAATAACCATTTTTAAGCTGGGCACTGGTATCTCACACCTGTAAATTCCTAGCTATTCAGGAGGCTTAGATCTGTGAATCGCAGTTCAAAGCCAGCCTGGGCAGGAAAGTCCATGAGACTTTTATCTCCAATAAATCACCAGAAAACCAGAAGTGGATATGTGGCTCAAGTAGTAGAGCACTCATCTTGAGCTGAAGAGCTGAGGGACAGTGTCCAAGCCCTACAACCCACAAAAAAACCAAAAAGCACTTTGAGAGTATCTTAAGAAATTGTCAACATTTGAGGATCTCTGCTTACTAGAAAAGATCTCTACTTACAATGCAATTTTCTTAAATGTAGACATGACAAAAGGAAAAATGTCCCAAAAAAATGAATACTGGGGAACTGGTACTTCAAAGGTATGGGAGGAGGTCAAGAGTAGGAGGAAGACAAATGAAAGGAGAAAGGAAAATAATGAAGTTATACTATTCAAAAAATAGTCTATGAAACTAAGAAATTTGAGGGGAGATTGGAGGGATGGGGGGAATAAAAATTTAAAAATAACTTTTTAAAAAAGAAACACTGCTGAGGTACCACTAATAAACTGGTAATTTGGGGTTATTTGTATCACTCATGGGTTGGTTACTTACAATTTGGCAAAAGAGTATACTTATGTTCTTCCTGAAATTCTGTGTTACTATTGGTGGTGGTGGTGGTGGTGGTAGTGGCAGTGGTAATGGTGTGTGTGTGTGTGTGTGTGCCGTTGTGTATGTTTTCTGTCTGGAAGCAGAGTTTGAAAGTAGAGAGCAAATAAAGTTCTCTGTGTATCTTAGAATGTTTCCCCTGTTTGCAGATTCACTGAGCAGACTTCCTTTTATTTCCCTGTCCTCTCCCTTTGCCATTCGTCCTTTCAAGATCTTCCATTCTACCATTCTTTGTTTATAATTCTGAACAATACTGCTTCTGGTGACCTCCCCTTTATTAACCTGAAATGTTACTAAGTGTATCATATGATGAAAAACCCCAAAACCTTTAAAAGGGTTTATTTGTCCCATAGTGTACACAGGGCAATTCTATATACAAGGAAGTCACTTAATAAATATTTACTAATAGAAGAATGCATGAATAACAATAAAGTATAGCCTACAGTATAGCCTACCTAAACTTTCTTCTAATAAATATCTACAGTTTTATCATACTTTTCTGGGTGGTCTCTTTTAGTTTATTCTAAATGTCCAAATGTTTTTGGTCATATCCTGATTTATTTCTAATGGGTATTTTCAAACTTTACAAGGAAGGATTAGACAGTATTTTTAAAAAGCCACAGTATAGGAATTCTTAAAGACAATTAAAACAAATATGATAGGTCAATGGATTATTCACTTAGGTACAGAAATGAATTAACTCATTAAATTTCCCATTATTTTTCCAGAACATAAATACTGCACCAAATGACATTTTCCTACATAATATATGCTTAGAGTCATTATTTAAAAAAAAGACTTGAAGACTAATCTCATCACTTTACATGGGAGAGCAAGCATCTCAAACCTATACTTACTGTCTTCTATATCCCAGCACTGGGTGATTGGGTCCCCATACTTTACATCTTGGCGTCTAGCTCGCCTATGGAGAAGGAATTAAACCAATTAGAACATCAAGGATAATCACTGTGATGTGGAAAGACTGCATCTAAAGCCAAAAGTAGTAGATGGAAAAGGATGCTGGTGTTACTCAATCTAAATGCATCATGGAGTAAAATATACATGCTTATTTCAATCAATATACATTCATTTAAATGCTAGTGGAAATAATGCCCTAACAGGACAAAATTGTTTTACATTATTGTGAACTCAATTTTATTTAACTACCACTCTTTTTTTTATGACTGTACATTGTTTTTTTCAACAGAACAGGTTGAGTATAAACTGAATCCATGATTTACACAGAGACATAAATATTCTTCTTTATTTTTCATTAGCCATGGGAAATAACAATACATAAAATAGTTCCAGTGGGTAAGAAACTACTCAAAATTCTAGAGCACCTTTAACCTGTATAAGTCTACTGTAACAAGATTTGATTAAGAAAAAAAATCTAAAATGGAAGTGTGAGTTTTGATATGCTATGAATGGTTACAAAATATTTGTATTGTAGATATGAAACTCAGTTTTATTCTGATAGTAATTAGTAATAATAATTAGTAATAAAAATTAGTAATAACATGATGGCTTTTCTATTTTTCATTTTTTCCATGAGAAAACAGTAAATAACAAATGGAAAAGAAATTTTACAATTCTGCTATATCTAAGTATGTCTTTTACTTTCACAAAATATTTTTATTTGTTTTGCCTGATTTGAATAACCAAAATTAGTCAAATGTATTTATTAAATTTATATACTATATGTATTTTAACCGATATATAGTAACAATGACCATGTATCACCATGTGGTATCCCTACACACACACACACACACACACACACATATATATATAGTGTAATTTAATGATCAGATTAAGCATATCTATCTCCTTAAAAATTTAACATTTTTGTGGTAAAAATATTTTAAATAATCTTATCAAAATCTTCAAATTTTTGTCAAGCTTTTGTCAGGCAGTCATGGCTCATTACTATAATCCTAGCTACTCAGCTGGCTGAGATTCAAGTATCAAGGTTCAAAATCAGCCCAGGAAGGAAAAAGTCTGTGAGGCTCTTATTTCCAATAAACTACTTAGGCAAAGCTGAACATGGTGCTGTGTCTCAAGTAGTAGTATGCTAGCCTTGAGCAAAAGAAGTTCAAGGATAATACTCAGGCCTGGAGTTCAAGCTTCAGGACCGGCAATCAATCAATCAAAACAATCTTCAAGCTTTTAAAAATGAATAGTAAATTATTATCCTTAGTCATCATATTGTACAAGGGACACTGGAACATCTTAGTCCTAAAACTCAGTAGTAATTAACAACCTTTTCTGATCAATCTCTTTTGTCCTACTCTCTCTGGTTTATGTTGCCAGTTCAGAGAAAGAACAACATGGACCTGAGATACCAAAGGCAATGCTGACGAGATGATAGCATTGCAAAGGGTCGTCTATTCTGCACATCTTTACTTACAGGACATTGTGCTATGTAAAGGAACATCACAGTGGCAAGACTGTGAGCTCTTAGAGCAGTCTTGGGAAGCACCCAAAAAAATTATGCTAGCATGAGGTAAAGAAGGTCAGGAATGTTTTTAAATCATGGCTTCCTAAGGAACAGAGTCAATCAATCAAATGGAACATTTATTGCCTACTAATGAGTATTCTGGGTTTCTGGCTTCCAGAAAAGCATTCCCCAAAGACTTGCTAGGATGTGTATGTTCCTGGACAAAATATAGAACAAAATGTTAATATCTTTTTATGCTTAACTTCTAAAAATGGTTTTTACCTATTTATGCTAAATTAAGGGATTTGAACAATATAAAACTTGTCTAAATGTTAAGCAATGTCTGTTGTCCTAACATACAAATACTCTGTGATACTTAGAATTTAGAATTTGATGTATCAGTAAAATATTTTTTAAATGCATATGGTAGTGAGACAAGTATATATTCTCCTCTTTGTTTTTTTAAAGATACTGAAAGAAAAGGGAATAATGTCACACATACTTTCATAACATCTTACCTAGGGGGAATATAATTTTAAAATGTTGCTATAATCTATGTATAAACTCAAGGATCATACTGCATTTCAAGAGTGTCAGCTATATTGGTACTACAAAGTATCTGAACTCTATGTAAGTAAGTTTAGCCTTTCAGCACATCCATTTGAAAGTTAGTTTTCTATGAAACAAGTATTTTATTGTCGTATTTCTTCCACAGATAATGTTGTCTATTGGTTTCTCTTTCACTTAAACTACAACACAATGCATTGCTGTGAGTGAGCCATCTTGTAAGAGCTGAGGCTCCTGGTTACTCCTCGGGCACCTTACCGTTTGGAGGTGGGCGCGTACCGAGAGCATGCATTTCCATCCCAGGCACAGTAGGGATCTCTGGCCAGACAGCAGTCTGCACACGCTTTCCCATAAGTGTCACATCTGTGCAAGGAGAGCTGAGCCAATCCATCTCGGGAACCAATGTATAATTGTTGCTGCAAATCAGGCAAAGCAAATGAATTAGAAGCATCTTTCAGAAGAGTCTTAAGAACTTCCCTTTCTCAAATACCAAATAATATCTCTAAATCTGTTCTCTGGATGTCCAGAACATTGTAAACACATGTTCAGAGATATAAGGAAGAGTAAAATACGTCAAACAGGTCTTGTTCATCCAGTTAAGATTGTTTTGGTCTGAAGATGATGATACAGAAATGGACGGTATTTTAAAATCTGGAGTAAGCTTGCCAGTAATTTAAGAAGGTCAAAAACAAGCTGTTAGAGTGAGGGATTAAGATGTCAAATTCTTTCTCAATAGTAGAAAATATACTTTAGTAGATTATGTCAACCTCAGAGGCTGTAGGCAAAACAGATAGTCTTCCTGTCATAGCTCCTTACATGAGTGATGACTGAGATTTATGAAATTGTGTTTCCTTATAACAATTTATGAAATTGTTAATGATCTGATCACTGAAAACGTATGGGTTCTTTGTGTGAGGCTAAGTATTTGTTATTGGTATGAAGAAAGTACTAAGCAGACTTAACAGAAATCATAGTATAAATGGAAGTCTTCTGGACACTGAATACCTGCAAATAAAGTGATATTTTGAAAATTAATTCTGAAAGGAATCTACTGCTCTTCAAGTGCTCTCACTTGAGTGTCACTGCGAGTATTCCTGGAGGAGAGGCAGAATACAAGTAAATGAATCTTATTGTGTGCCTTCGAAGAATGCACAGCCAACACGATATTTCAGGTTTAAATAGAAGTAAAACATCTTAGAAATAGATGTTAGGATAAGGAGCCAATGACGAACTCTCTTATACCTTTACTGCAGTTACATTCTCCGTGATTCTTCCTGGTTCTTAAATGTGCACTGAACCCTGTTTATTTATTTGTGATTTTTACTTCTTATGACATTTGAGAGTAGTTACTATGCTTTGTTAAAACTCTCTACTATTTACAAATTTCCTATATCTCTACCTGATATATGTGTCACGTTCTTTTTAACCTTCTTTCTTTCAGTTAAATTCAAGATTTCTTCCTTTCCTAATCCTATTTACTAATGATAGTACATGCAGATGGTACATGGAGAACAAGTAATGAGCATGATTCTTCTAAATTTACCCCTTTCCTACCTTAGCAAGAGTCACCATCACATACCCTCGACAGTCAAGACAGAAGTCTTGGAGTTGTCTAAGAGACTTCATTCTCTCCCATTCAATCTGTCCATGCCATATAGAACCATTAAACTATTTATTCTCCCTTTCCAGTGTCACAGTCTCTGTTTCATCCTTATCATTCCTTTCTGAGACTGCTTGTAAGTGTCCTATTTCCATAGACTTTGGCCTTCTGTTCCAGCAATCCCCATGTCTAAAGAAGGACCCCATCAATCTTTCACATGGATAAACCAGACTGACCCCTCTAGAGAGAAAGTCTGGGGCTGAAGCTATAGCTTAGTGGTACATCTCTTGACTAGCATGTGCTAAGACCCTGGTTTCAATAACTAGACACCCTCTAGGTTAAATCTTAGTGGATTCCATTGTCCTTAAGATAAATTTTTAAACATCTTGGAAGGACATGGAAGGATGTGCCTAATCTTACTCTGTTTTACTTCTTCAGATTCATTTCTAACCTCCGTCCCTTTAGCACACATGTGGTCTTGCTCTAATTGTATGCAGACTTATAGCAAAGCTGTTGGATCCAATACTTTCCTTTGGCATATGCTCCTCCATCCCATTCCCCGACAGCATTCTTTGTGGCATAGCTTTTATATCTCTTCTTTTAGTTATCTTCGCCAGTTCCTTCTGGCTTCCTTTCAAGCTACTTTCCTTTCTATAGTCCTGTAAATTTTTAGTGTGCTTCCTTGTCTGTTAGCTCTAACATAAGTTGTTGCAGGTTATTCCTTATGCCATTCATTTATTTCTCCGCCCTCAAAGAAATGTAGCGAGTTTTAAAGGAAAGTATGTTCATGACCAAGGAAACATTCAAGAGCCTAGCAAGGGTGAAGCTCTGGGTTCAATGCTCCAAAAATAAATATAAATTAAGAAAAAAATATTGAATGAATGAATACATTAACATAAGCCTAAAGAAGACACTTGTTTAGTTTCCCTAATAATTGGTAATATAGACAGAATAGGTTAAAATAAGTTTACCAATGCCTTAATGTTGAACACATATTATAAATATGTCAGTTTCTTAAAATTTGAAAGGGCATATAGGAATAGAAAATATAAGTCTAAATCTTTTAATTAAGGTTCATAGTTCCACATCACATAAGTGAAATCAACCACTTATTATTATTATTATTATTGTATTACATTTACACACACATATATACAACAGAAACGGTTTTATGTCTACAATCCAAACACTCAGGAAGCTGAGGCAGGAAGATTTTTAGTTGGAATTCACCAGAGATATACAATGAGATGGAAAGTAACCAAATAAAAAAGCTTGATAAACTTGGGCTGCTTAGCAATGACTTGGGTCCAATCACTAGCACCACAAAAACAAATAAGATAATAAATAAGCAATTCTAAACTCACAATGAGCCTTGAAGTGCATGGATTTTCTAACTTTGCCTCTGACATATTGAGTAGTGAGTTTACTGTTGGCTGATTGCCAAGAGAGTCCATATTCCAACTCCCTACTCCCTAATTTAAAATCCCTTCTAATGGTTAGGACAGGAATTCTGTATGTAATTCTAATGACTTTGACAGAAAGATGTGCACATGAGACCAGAAACCAATTCAAATTATAAGAGCCAAAAAAAAATGAAAAACAGGGTACAATTAATGACTTCGAGTCTTCTTTTTCCCTAATAGCTGAGTGTCTTCTAATCAACAAGAAGAGCTATATATAATCTAAAAGCTTTCTACATTATTTATAACTTAAGTTCCCCCATTGTTTCTTCAAGTAAACTTTGATAGAAGCAATTTATTGCTTTCATTGTGAATATTTACCTAAAATTAGAAAGTTCCCATTTTTGTTTTATTTTTACACTAGGAATAATGTACTTTCTCAGTCTATTGAAAGTGTACTCCTTTCCTAATAAACTTTATTATCATTTTCTCAAGAAGGAAGGAAAGAAATAAAAAAGAACAATGGAAAGGAGAGAGGATAAAGAAAGACAGAGAGAGAGACAGAAAGAGAGAAAGAGAAAGAAACAAAGAAAGAGAATGAAAGGAAGGAAGGAAGGAAGGAAGTAATAAAGAAAAAAAGGAAGAAACAAAGAAAGAAAGGAAGAAAGAAAGAGCAAGCAAGCAGGCCGGTAGACAGGAAGGAAGGGAACAAGGAACAAAAAATAAACAAAGAAAGAAAGAAGAACATAAAAAGCCACAAACCAGAATGCATGTACCTGTTTTAGAGATAACTCCATGTTCAAGATGGTTGTTGGGTGCTGAAAATAGAAGGTGAATGTCAATAAAGAAAATCATTAACAGGTGTGTTTATTATATACCAAAAACCACTGAAGTGAATCTGCTGGCTATCTTATTGGTACCTGGGGGTTATCCTTCACTTTTTCCTCCCAAATGTGTATTGATTCTTCCAGCTTATAATAACAATGAAAATAATCAAAGTCTTTTATTAGATAAAAATCTACCTACCTATGAGGAATCATTTTGCATTGAAAATTGTTTCCAGTTACTCACAGTTTTCTACTTGTTTTAAATCTGCTTAGCTTAACCACTTCCAAATAATTTAAACTAGCCTTGACAAGAACATCTCAATAATTTTTTTTTACTTTTTTCTGTTCTTACTTAGATCAGTAAGTGATTAAACAAAACACTTGCAAAAAGAGCCCAGTTAGAGAAGCTACAGTGAATGCTCCTTGGGAAGTACCACCAAAAAAAAAAAAGGAAGAAAAGTGAGAAAAGAGAACAAAGAATGACCTTTTCTAATTTTCAGTGTGGCAAACAATTCCCCTTTTGCGTTGCCCAACATCTATTGAATAAGGCTTGTCTTAACATGCTTCTGTGGTATTATAGCAAATTCATGTAAGCCTCTTGGTTCACCCTTCTGTTTGACATCACTTTTCCCATAGGAGCTACCCAAGGTTTTGTTTTGGTAGGGCCAGATAGCTGGTCTTGTTCTTATTAACTTCTTGACCACTATTATCATCACAATGTAAACAGGATCCAAGGGAACCCAGCATTTTAATTAACTTGAGCCTCTCCCAGTGGTGGGCTCTACTTACTCTCTTTTAAGGCAATAGATGTTTACCGTTAAATAGATTCTTAAAAAAATAACTCATTAAAAATGTAAGACAGGCACAACATACTTTCAAAAAGCTTTTCTAAGAAGTATAATTTTATTTCTGATATTTTTTTAGGAAATATTTTGAAAATTAAACTACCTTGAGGATCTACAAAGAATGCCTGAATTTGAATCTATTATTAAGAGCCAAAGACATCCTCCAAACCAAGAGAAATCTTCTAGATAAGCTATTTGGGGAAGATAAAAAGAATTTAAAAGTACATGAGAACTTACTATTATGTAATTCCCTGCTTTTAAAAATTTCTCTACCGAAAAGCTAGGATACTCATGATTTATTATACTCTTCTAGTTTGTTCTGTTTCAATTGGGGAAAGCTTGCAAATAAAACTTATAAAGTAGAAAAGCATATGGATAGTATGGGACTCCAGGCTTTCATTTAATGTGGCACTTTGTGTGACTGTACACTTAGAGAATGTAGTAATGAGAGGCAATCCCACGAGTATGGGTTGTGTCTACAGTGGAAAGTGGGTCCCATTTTTAGTAACTTATAAAACCCTTTCCAATGCCTAGAGAAAATGAAAATAGGGAAGCTAATTTCAAAGATTTCTCCAGGAAAAGTGATGATGTGTTGGGACAAATGTGCCCCATAGCAATGACTGACTACTCAGCCCCACTTTTCCTTCTGGAACTCTGTCTAGACGGGGTCTCACCTTGAACTTAGCCTCACTCTCCCTTCTGTAACTCTCTCTAGACTGAGTCTCACCTTGAATACCTGCAACTCTTCTAGTACCACCTCTTCCATATTCCACTTCTCCTTTGAAATGCTAACAACTTTTAGGACTGTTCCAATATCTGAAAAGGATAAAGTAAAACCAGAACTCATTATACTGTTGTTTATATGCAATATCTAGTTTAAGTCTATTTATAGAAATCTTTAAATTGCTCCCCTCATTTTTTCTCTGAAGGCTTTTCAAAATATCTACCTAAATGAAGGATGTAAGAAATGTTTTGCCGTTTTTAAATGATATTGATTTTTACCTAGTAATGTAGATATTCATAAAATGAATATTAAAAAATAGAAATTTAGAACATATTTGTTACAAAAATATATGCCTAATTTAAATATTGGTTAAAATAATAGGGCATAATGTATTTTTGATCTTATATAAAATATATTAAAATATATTTTAATGTATTTGGATAATATAGTAAAATTAGTAATAATGCATTTATCTTTCTGGAATATATATGCAATTCATTATATATTTAATCTGTCATATAAATTGAGAAATATGTTGTTTTATTAACATTAAACATGAACACATAATAATTAAAGCAATGTACATGGAAATGTCTTTTGGTAGATTCTATTTCTAAATCATTACCAATAAGCCAAACAATACCATTTTTTAAAAACAATTGTAATTCATCTTAAAAGGCAGAATACAAGGAAATAATGTCAAAACGAAACTAATCCTTAGAAATTATGTCTTAGGAAAATTAACATAGATTTACAGATTTATCAGTAGCACATAGCAGGAAAATAACCAAAAGAACACTTTAAGAAAATAAAATTGATTTATTTGTATTTAATTTATGCAAAATTGTTATACTTAATATTCTGAGTAATATGGTTAGATTTATAGAGAGTAACAATGTGGTTGGATTTATATATTTATCCTTATAAGGATATATATAGGAATATTCCTAATATATAGTAATGTACAAAATACCCTGGATTATTTAAGTTTGATTTTTCAGTCACCTGAGATGTATATTTAAAATGCATATTTCAATGCCATAATTATCTTAACATCACCATAATGTTCTCAGTGAAAGTTAGGTACTGCCACCTAGTGGCTTAATTGTATTTGCAGTAGTGAACTGTTAATGACAAATGAACTTGGGCAAATTAAATGTCAAACTCATGAGAATTACTAAGACTAATTATTTAAAGTTGTGACCCTTAAATATCTATTTTATAAATCCTGGGAGATCCCTTATTTATCTTGGTCTTGAACTAGTTCTCTGCAATATAATCATATTTAACAACTGGTCTTTGAAATTTATCTAGCATATGCTTGATAATAAACCTAACTTCTGCAAAACAATAAAATTATTTAAAAATTAAATAAACCTAATTTTGTTTCACATTTCAAAAAACATTTCCAATAAAATGACTTTTTCTAGAGACATTAAAAGACATTTTTCATTAATGTCTACTTCAATCCATTAGGTAGTGTCAATTATCTATATAATACTGTACCTTTGTTTAACAGTATCTGCTTTCTTTACTGTTAATAGTTTTTAAATATTAGAAAAGAACTTTAAACTTTCTCACATCTGGGAAACTAACAAAATAAATAATTTCTGTATGCATAATATATATGTGTATACATATGTTTATGTGTGTGTCTAAAATTGCTTCCTGTGATTTTACATACTAGCTACATAGCATCAATTGTGATTTTTTTTTTAAATAAGTTGTTATCTAGGCCATGGTGGCCTTGAACTCATGGTCTTCATTTTTCAATCTCCTGAATGCTGGGATTGCAAGTACCACCACCAGGTAAAACGTTAAAAATATATTAATTGTTTCATGGTCACTAAGTTAGCAGACCAAAGATAAATAAAATGGGGTCCAATAATGAGAGTCCACAAAATTCATTGTATGCACAAAATTCAAGACAATTAAAAATGATCTCCAAGTTTATTTAAAAGTCTTTATAAAGTCATGGGTTAACGTTTTCGAAAACTTATTTGGTGCCCTTTAAATCAGTGATTCTCAAAACCAGTGAAAGATGAAGTTCAAAAATAAACACTGTTTAGCCTCAATTGCTAAATGCTTGCTTCTACTCACTCAACACAAACACACACATACACACACACACACACACACCACCACCACCACCTAATCTATAGTCATCACATAGCAACCTTAATACACAAATATATTTTGAAAGCTCACATGTGAGATAAATATGGTTATTAATAGGACATTATAGTTTTTTTTAAGAAACACTGACAAGTGGCAGATAATAATTATTCATTTTGATTTGGACCAAGAAATATTTTTGAAGATTAGCTTTTGTTTAATGTGGTAATAATAAATTGCTTTGAAAGAAAGCTTAGTCTAGTTCAAGGCTCACCAGTTCCAAGAAACATTACATCGTACTGGCCGTCTTCTGCGATGACATGATCCACCACTATCTGCGTTAGTCTGTAGTCTACATTTATGCGCTTGAATGTTGGTGCTCCTGCTACTGGGTAGACTGCCTTATACATCACCGGGTGCCGCTTTATGAAACTGATAACATCATCTGGAAAGTCTCGGGTAGACTTAATCAGGGGGTCATAAGTCTTGCTTGGACACTAAAGAGAATGTAGACAAGAATAAAGATACTATGTACCTAAGAAACTTATGCTGACTGCCAAAGAAGTTTTCAAGTCAGATCATGGATGAGATGAAGAAACAGACAACAATCATTGTGGAATCAATGTGCAAGTTTAACAAATGCACCGTACTTACACTATGTTTAAAAATGCTTTTGTCCCTCAGAAATAGTCTAGGTTACATATTTTAAAGGTAGTTAATCATATTTCCTTGTGGAAATGTTTTCTTAGGGAAAACATTTTGATGATTACAGTTTCTAGTGAAAATACTTGAAATATTAGTTGAAACGATTGTTAAAAACATAAACATGAAGATTGTGAAAATATGTAGGAAGACCTTATTTTTAATTTCCTTTAAACAAAATAGAATTGCAGTTCAGTTCAAACCATTCTTCTTTGAAATAAAAAGGAACAAGTTAACAGCTCACCAAAGTTACTTTCAGAAGACTTTCAATAGTTTGAAATTATACCCACCTACATTTATTATAACTAGTGTGAAAATTATGCTGTGAACAATTCAACAGCTCTTTCCCCTAAAGGAGCTGTGAAGAAAGCCTCAGGGAATTTTCCACTTCTGTCTAAAATTGCCTCCTGTGACTGTACACCAGATACATAAATAGTTAGCATCATGTGCCCTCTGGTGGTAAGAATAAAAATTCAAATAAGTACAGAGTAAATAAATTTGATGTGCCTTTGTCCAGAAAGGCATTACTTTAAAATTTACCTTTCCTTTTCCACAGTAAACATATCCTTTCTCACTTTTAAAATATAATTTCTGTTTCAAAATATTGTTAGACCTAGGAAGTATTTCTATATATAATAACATTGTTGTCATTGACACATTTGAATTCTTAATGAACTAATGAATTGTTTTGCTATTGAAAGCCATAGTTAATTGGTGTATGCATAGTAAGAAAAAGAGTGACTTTAGAGAAACTGTATGAATGCATATAAAATATTTCCTTTGTCTTTTAGTTTTTAGATGAATTGGAACCAAGCTATTTACACTAGGGGCTAATTAGATCACACCAGTTCTGCAAAAACAAATCATACTTCTAAATGTTCTCAAGAGGGTCATTCAAAGACCCTGGAATTAGTGACAATATATAACCCTGACCCTAAATTTTTTCTCAACAAATTCATAATGGCTCATTGTGAATCAGAAGAAAAATCAAAGTTGTACTTGAAAAAATAAAGTCAAAGTTTTTTTTTCTAGTTTTTGATAGTATCTGGCTTTCACACACACAAAAAAATCTTGTATTCCTGCCATTTAAGAAATAGATCTCTTTTTTTCTAGTTATTTGTCCCAGGACTATGCCTAAGAGATTAGACATGTCCTACATCATTAGCCATTTGGTACTTATTTAGCAAATCCTTAACTGGAGGCTGGTCTATACACTGAAGCCTGTGTGTTCAATCATTGTTTCGAGCGCTTAGCCTTCAGCCAAGTGGAATCTGTCAACTTGATAATGGAAGGAACCCTATATTAAGTAGATTAAGCTCGGAGCTCAGATAATACAAAGCTCTTACCCAATTACAGGCTGCATGTTTTAGGCTTAGTCAAACCCCATTCATAGTAGGCTTATAGCTTATAATGCCTGTGGTTCAGTCTGGTTGGTCTATCATCAAAATCAAAGCAAAAGCAAGATTTTGCCTGCACTACATTTTTGAAAAAGCTCTCCAACTTAAGAGAAAATGTCTTTGGACTTTGTAGTAGCTAGAGTTTCAAAAGAAGCAGATTGTGCCTCTGAAGCTACATTTTTTTTTACAAACAAATAAATAATTAATTACATAGCTTAACATAAGTCAGTGCATCCCCCAAAATATAAATATTAAGCAAAAAACTAAATCAGACAGTTTTTTCATTGTTTGCCTCTGACAAAAAAAAAAGGCTCAGGTATAGTCACACACACACACACACACACACACACACAAATACATAAATAAAAAAGAAGAAGAAAAGGAAAAGATGGTTTCTATTCACTACCAGAAAATGATCTTGGAGAATACATTTTTCTAATAGCTTTTCCTCCCTGCCTGAGGCCAGAGTAGGGAGAGGGCCCTTCCCCTCTCCTGGCATGAGGGACCTCTCTCCACATCACTGTGTGTGCACAAATGCAAGTGTTCAAGACAGAACAGTATGAGCCAAATACTGTTCTTTTAGTACACTCCATCTGGGAGGACTTTTGCTTTGACACCATATATCTAGGCAGCATACAGACTTACCAATAACTCCAGAGGTCAAGCAACATGTTAAGGTAAAAGAACAGTAGGAAAGAGGAAACCCAAAAAAAGTGTTCAGAAATTTCATCCACTATTTCTAGAAAAGTTCTCTGTCATACCTACCCATTCAGATATTAAAAATTCAAATGAGCATATATGTATATCCTTTTATTTTCTAGCTATAATGTATTCCCCTTGACTATCTCCTACAGAGCCTTTTATTTCTGCCCATATTTCTGGCATTTGCCTATTTCCTACCACTTGTACTCAGGTGAGTGGAGAAAAGAACTATGACTTTACCAACTGTTTTGAAGAAATACTAATGCAAATTAAGATTTGAGAGGAGAATAAGGGAGGGGGGGTAATAAACAGAATGAAAATGTTTTAGCCACACTTTCAAATGCCAGTATCTTGCTGGAAACATTAACACCATCTCCAGAGCTGAAGAGAAAAGAAGAAGCTGCCTGGATAGACTCTGAGATGAAAGGGTAAAGCCACAGCCACAAGCCCTGCTCAGCGCCTGTCTGCATGGCGGGCTGCACAGCTGGCTAGGTGTGAGCCTGTTATGCTTGGCAGATCCGAGTGTTTGTGTAGGGCCTTGAGGAGTGCAGAGGGAAGCAATGGATAAGAAGAGAAGAAAAATGGGTTTTATCCAGTGAGAGAACTTTGCCCCTTGGCAAGGCACCAGACAGCTGTTAAAAGTTTTCTCCCTCTGCTGCTGCGGGCTGTTCTCTACAGGTCGCAGTTCCCTTTTAAACAGATCAGAGGAATGACAGATGGGAGGGAAGCGAAGCCCAAGGAAAGACTGACCGAAGCTTTCACCTCCAACAATTGGGGAAAGTAATTAATGATACGTAAATTTAGCATGTGAAAATGCAAACTTAGAAAATGCTACTTTCGTTTTCTGATGAATCTAAGTCTCAGCCTTTAAGAAGAAAACCCTAAGCCGGGCGCCAGTGGCTGATGCCTGTAATCCTTGCTATTCAGGGGGCTGAGATCTAAGGATCGCGGTTCAAAGCCAGCCCGGGCAAAAAGTCCGTGAAACTCTTGTCTCGAAAAAACCTCCAGAAAACTGGAGGTAGCGCTGTAGCTCAAGTGGCAGAGCGCTCCCGTGAGCTGAACAGCTCTGGGACAGCGTCAAACCCAGAGTTCAAGCCCCACCACCAACAACAACAAAAGAAGAAAACATATTTTATATATCAGAGATAGAAAAATTAGACATGAAAGGAGAGTAGTCAATCTCTCTCTTTCTCTTTTTCTTTTTCTCTCTTCCTCTCTCTTCCTCCCTCTTCTTCTCTCTCCTTTCTTGTTCTTTTAATCTTCTACGGGAACAATTTTTCCTACTATTCTTTTCATTTTTTTGTATTCACATATATTAATTGTACAAGGAAATTTCATTATGACATTTCCATATGCATACAATGTACTCTAGCCAGATCCAGACCTCAATCTCTTTCTTTTTCCCTTCTTACTACAAGTCCAATGGTTTCTTATCGAAACTTATTTTCTTATATGCATATTCACCCTCATTCATCCTCTCTGTTCACCCTCACCTGACCATTGGTACCCAAACCTACCAGAACCGATTTTATTTTTCCTCCATTCATTTTAAAGGATATATTCTTTATACAAGGGAGTCCACTGTGGTATTGCACAGCTCACGTACTTTAAGTCAATTTCCGCTATTGCTTTTACTTTATCTTTTCTACACCCATATTGACCAACAATTTTCAGTGATTTCGGAATTCTCTTTTGTGCAACAAAATTATGAACCAATCTCATGTAAGGCTAGGTGATGTCCTGAGGTTATTATTATTATTATTATTTAATTTCTAGAGCATCAAGCAGGTGTGCCTGGACTCAGGGCTTGTCAGTGGTAGATGATCATGATAAGGCAGACTTGCTAGCAGACCTAGAATCAAAAGAATGGTACGATTTCTCAATGTCTCTTACAGCATTAGAAAGGGTAGTTGTTTGTAACAGCACATTCACAAGTAACGCTGGAAAGTCATGATTTCAAGGCCCATCAGGGACATACAGCAAGTTCCTGGCAAGTCTGGGTTGCATAGCAAGCATTTGTTTCTAGGGAGATTAAAAAGGTCTAAAAATTTGGTGGGAAATAAACATTAGCTACACATATACTAATAGTCTAAATTTTGTTGGTTTTCGATCTCATAGCAAAACAACCAAAAGAAGAAAAAAAAAGAAGAAGAAAAGGACATAGATGAAAAAAGAATAACAAGCCCCAGTATAAATGGAGGAAATTGTAATATTTATATTTTCAGATTTTCTCTACAGGAAAATCCCATGAGAGGAGTTGCAGATGACAAAGTGTCCTATTTAGAGAATGTCTTGAAATGCTTTAGAAAGGAGCATATTCCATGTTGAGAGTTAGATACTTGCTGAGTTTAGTATGGTGGCTCACACTTGTAATCCTATCTACTTGGCAGCGTGAAATAGCTGGGCTCTAAGTTCAAGGTAAATCTATGCACAACAAAGTTTTGGAGACCCCTTCTCAAGGAAGAGCTAGACAAGGCAGGAAGTTAGACCCTCATCTCAGCAATAACAAAAGGAGTAGAGCTGGAGGAGTTTAAGAATAAGAATGCCTACTTAGTAAACACAGGACTTTGAGTTAGAAACCTCTAGACTGGAAGCATGCATGAGGCCCTGGGTTCGATTCCTCAGCATCACATAAGCAGAAAAAGCTGGAAGTGGCGCTGTGGCTCAAGTGGTAGAGCACTAGCCTTGAGCTGAAGAGCTGAGGGACAGCGCCCAGGCCAAGAGCACTCAGGTCCCATGACCGACCCCAAAAAATAAAATAAATAAATAGATAAAAAAAAAAACCTCTAAGTCACCAAAAAAGAAAAAAAAATGCCTAAATGTTATTTATAGTACACTATTTATATAGTACACTATTAAATTATATGACTGACTCACTGTTATACTAATATGCCTTTTGGAATAAAAAAAAAGATCTGAACTCCTAAAATAGAATTAAGGAATAAAAGAAAGGAAATGTTTGTTTGAGGAATATTTCAGATATAATATGCTTTATAGAACATTTTGATGTTCTTAATAAATACGTATAAAACATATTTAAGTTTTGTTGAACCAGTTCTACATTACATTTTAATATATGTTTCTTCTTTTTTCTAACTAACATGACATATGATCGTCAGAATAAACCATAGAAGGGCAATGAAGAGAAAAAACAAGAGCTTGGCCCAATGATTTTTGTTATTTTTGTGTGACTTAAAGCTTCTTTGCACAGATAAAAAGAACATGTCACCAAAGAAAACTGTAAAGTAAGGAAACTATTTAGACAATAGGCATTAGTATATGGGTATTCACACATATGCACACACACACACACATATACATCAAGAAGAAAGGTGTACTCATATGGTAGGAAATACATAAGAGGCAGAGCTGGTGTGAGATGTGTTTTGGGCCTGTCATACTGCATTCCTTTTACTGGGTCATAGCATTCTAGCAGATTATTAACTCCGGCCTTACTTGAAGTTGTTGTCCACATCTGATTTATACCACTCTTTTTGGAATATTTCACCTCACTTGCAACTTCATATTCCAACCCCTCAAATATTCAGTTTGGACACCAGAGGGCAGACAAATCACTTAAGTGAAGGAATTCCAGATTACAAACTTGTGACTTTCCAGGATCATTCACATAGCAGTGTAGAGTGATTGTTGTTCAAAGAAAATATAGCATCCAGCATGCCAAACACAAAACAAAACAAAGGTAGAAATGCTATTTTATCTGTAGTGTTTAGCTGATGTCAGATTATATCCTACTGTGTAAAACATAAGAAATATGCAGCTTTGAGTGGTTTAAAACAAGTACAGATAAGAGAGGATGTCAGGAGAAAATGTAAAACCACATAAAGTTGCTTTAGGTAAAGTGCAGTCTACTACCCTGCATGTTAAGAAATGGAAAGACATTAGAGACCATGAAGAAGAGGGCAGGAAGACCCATCAGAATACTCTAAACCTCTTTTCCACTTTGCTATTTCTGGCAATATGATATTGGGAAAGTGATTCAATTGTTCTGGGCATCACATTCCTCCTGTGCAAAATAAGGGTGAATTATGTGGTTTCTATCATCCACCCCAGTTCTTACATTCTCAAATTTTACAAGGGCAGTCACTCGATATACTGTGAAAAATAAATCCAATGATTTTATGAGTGTAGTAATTTAAAATGGTGAAGTTCATTTAGGCAAAGCAAATTTAGTAACAGAGTTTTCATATCTGATATATAATGTTCCTAACTTTAACATTTATATTTCAAATAAATAGAGTAATTTAGAAACACAGAAAAATAGCATGACAAGCAAGTGAAAGGTTTTGTGATTGCTTCAGTTTTCTGCTTTTTGGTTTTGTGAGACACAGTCTTACTGTGTAGATCAGGCTGGCTTCAAACTGAGGCCTTCAGCCTCAGCCTTCTGCCTGCTTACATTAGAGATTTGTGGCACCATTCCTGCCTCTAAATTATTTCAAAAGGACTAAAAAATTGAGCACGTAAAGACTTTATATAATCTCTCTGTTCTTTTACATATTTTCAAATTTGGTTAAAGTGATTTTTGAATAGCTAATATCAGAATACTTGACATAAATTAGTTATTTTCTCTTTGAAAATAAAATCAGCTGGGCGCTGGTGGCCAACTCCTATAATTCTAGCTACTCAGCAGGCTGAGATCTGAGGATCGTAGTTGAAAGCCACCTGGGCAAGAAAAGCTTTGAAACTCTTTATCTCCAATAAACTACTAGAAAACCACAAGTGGCACTGTGGCTCAAGTGGTAGAGCACTAGCCTTGAGCTGAAGAGCTGAAGGACAGCGCCCAGGCCCAGAGTTCAAGCCCCACAACCAACAAAAAAAAAAAAAAGAAAAGAAACATCACCCACTGACATTTGTGTTTTCTGTTTGCTTTTCTCTTTCATTTTTCTTTCTTTTTTTCATCATTACTGCTATATCATACAGGTGGCTGGTACTCAGGAGTTTCATGTAAAATGTGTTTTCTTTGAGAATGCTGTAGTGCAAGATAGCTCCTTCAGGCAGGAACTGGGAAGGATAACAGCCAGTCCTCTCTGTAGCACTCCAGACCTACAGTGTCCCTAAAAACAATGTCATCTGAAAGCACTCATCTAAAATTATTTTCACAATCATTTTCAACTTTTAAGTATCAGAGTACTGAATTTCTGTCTGTGTACACAAAAGATTTGCTTTAATTAATTTAGATAGTCTTAACCCTGAATGATATATTTCTCCTATAAATACCCAGATGAGTAAGGCAATTAAAATTGTAAAGATATGAATTAAAATTAAGATCTCAAGTAGATATTATCATCCTTCGGTTTACTAAAGCATTGTTCTTAGCAGCAATGATAGAGAATAGCTAAATGTGCCAGGACAGATGAATGAATAAAATAGTGGGCAACAGACACACTCACATGCACACTCACACATACTTACATAAACATGCACAGAAAACAGGCAATTCTATTCAGTACAAGGGAATTAACCATGAGAACATTATGCTAAAAGAGGTAAACCTTTCATAGAAAGACAAAATCTGCATGATTCAACTTATATAAACTTAACTTATGAAATATCACTGTAATAGTCACAAGGTTAGAGGCAAAATGGAGAGTTACTATTCAACATGCAAAAAGTCTCAATTTAGGATGGTAAGGGGAAACAAAGGAGGAGGCAACAATGCTTGATAAGAAATGTACTCATTACCTTGCTGATGTAATTGTAACCCCTCTGTACAGTATTTTCACAATAAAAAACTTATTAATAAAAAATCTCAATTTACTAAGTTCTACAGATGTATCACATGGTACCTGTATAACATAGTACCTATATTAAGCAAAAATGTAGTATATACTTTATCATTTGAAATGACAGATTATTTTTAACTATATTTATCACCACAAGATCAGAGAACATACCCAGACCCTGAGTTCAGAACCCTAATAATCAGCAGAAAGAGAGAGAGAGAGAGAAAGAGAGAGGTATATTTAAATAGGAATTCCTTCATATTTGGGCCCAAAATATCACTGAAATAAATTTAGAATAAGGAATTATAAAAGAATATTTTCCAAGATAATACATTAATTTACATAAAAAAGAATGTGGAAAATCAGGAAAGTAGAGTACCAGCTATTTTCTCCATAAAAGGAATCTATGAAAAGGTAGAATTTATAGTACTTGAAAGATTTATTCAACATTTTTTTCTCAGAGATTTCAGAGAGTATTTTAGGTCTCTTAAAAGCAATATTCATGCCAGGCACCATTGGCTCAACCTATAATCCCAGCTACTCAGGAGGCTGAGATTTGAGGATTGTGTTTCAAAACCAGCCTGGGCAGGAAAGTCCGTGAGATTTTATCTTGAATAAACTACCAGAAAACCGGAAGTGGTGCTGTGACACAAGTGGTAGAGTACTAGCCTTGAACTGAAGAGCTCAAGGACACAGCCCAGGCCCAGAGTTCAAGCCCCACGACAAACAACATCAACACAAAGAAAATCAGAATAAATCCTAAAAGGAAAAAAAATAGATTTTTTTCTTTATAATATTAAATCAATTAACTAATCCTTCCTTATTTAAACAGCTTGAACTATTTTAATTATAACAACAATGAAAACTAGTCTTTCATTCATTATGCCTATAAAACAGGTTAAACAAATGGATAAACCTTAAAAAACCCAACATATTTCTGGTTCTTCCAGTACTTCAAATGTGATTTTACTACTGGAAAAGAGTTTGAACTCAGGGTTGGTTAAAATCCCTTCACATAGAACAAGTATATATTATTTCAAAGTGCAGGAAAATGAAAGAAAGATAATGAGTTAATATTGAATAGCTAAATTATGTTATTGTAGATTATAAAACCATGTTGGTGATTCTATGAACATAATGGTGATAAACTCAATATTTGCAGCACAATCCACTCATTAAAATATAGGTCAGTATTTCCGATTATACTCAAAACTGTGCTTCAAAACAAAAAATATTAATTTCAAATAATAGCTGATAAGTTCTAGTATATCCCTATAAATAAACGATAGTTTCTTGAACAATCAACAGCATAGGTTGCTATGGAGTTTAGTGTAGTTCGAAAGTACAGAATTGGGAATCAGATAGGAGATGTGGTTTTCAGGTTGGATACATACGGTGCCAGGCCGAGGATATGGAATCCTTCCGTCAAACTGCACCCAGCGATGTTCCACACTCTCTTTATGCGCATATGGACCATTAAAAACAGCTCTGATATCAGCCATGTTAAATACACACACGGCAGATCCTTTGAAGATAGAACTGAAAGAAAGTCAGGTGATCACTCAGAGAACATTGGTTAAAAACATACCATAGCCAAGAACTACTAGGAAGAAAAAATCATTTAGAACGCTCTGATTGGCAGGTGCTTCCAGAAAACAAAACAAAACTATATATATATATATATATATATATATATATGTATATATGCAATATATATGTATATATACATGTGTATATATACACACACACATGCACACGCATGCCTGAAGGAGCATCTGGTCAATCAATCCTATTAGGTGATGAGTGAAGACTATGTAACAGGTAATTAGCCAGTTGAGCACATGAAGGTACCCAGAACCAAGCTGCTGGGTAAATTTCAGGAACTAAATGAAGTCTCATAGGACACTTCATCAGTAAGTAAAAATTATCTAGCAAAACTTAACAATAGTAAAGAATATAGAGAAAAAGCTATAAATATCTATCCATATCTTTTAAAATTTCATTTGACATTGTTATAGCATAATACTAGAAAAAAAACTTACTGTATGAAAAGTGACATTGGTTGTGTTTAAGACTAATTGTTTGATCTGTGACTAATAGTTATTTATCTGTTGGTTTAAACATAATGAACATTATATAATTCAGGTGCAAATGTGTTTGCAATGAATAATAAATTCAGTGTTGGGACTCAGGGCCTGGATTCTGTACCTGAGCTTTTTCTTTTTTTTTTTTCCACTCTACCATTTTTGAGCCACAGTTCCACTTCTGGCTTTCTGATGATTAATTGGAGATAAAAGTCTCATGGACTTTTCTGCCTGTGTTGGCTTTGAAGTATGATCCTAAGATCTTAGCATCCTAAGTAGCTAATATTACAGTTGTGAGCCCCTGGGCCCAGAAGTGAATTTATGCTTAAGTTTTGAAATCTAGTTTGTTTCTTTTTGAATTGAGCTTATTATCAGTCATAACTTCTTACCTGAAATTTAAGGTACACATAATTATTTAAAAGTAGAAAAGCTTCACAGGAATTCTATAATAGTTAAACATTCTTAACATGTATCTTTGTGTGTATGTGTCAAAATTAAAAGGCATTTTATTTGGGTGAAAAACTTTCAGGGATTCACATCCTTTAAAACGAGTTTATCTTTTATGATCTAAGAGACTGACTATCTCAACATTACACAATCATGCTAACTATTCGCTAGCACAAGGAACTCAATTATTTTTATTCTTAAATGACAACATCAAAAGTTAATGATAAACATGCAGCTCAGACGAAAGTAGCTGCTAGCCACGAAGTCAGTCATTTCCATAAAAATCGCATATGTGTCTGTGATATTTGAGGGAACAATGCATCATGCTTAATAGCATTGTCATTATTGAAGATTAATTATGTCTTCTCACTTGACAAAGGATGTGACATGAACGCCAGCCTTACCTCAGGCTTCAGGACAGCATTAAAAATAACACAACAAAGTATACCAGGAACAAAGAGTTGACTTGAAACTTCACACTCTGGGTGGGCAGAAATTTGATAGGAAAAAAACAAGGAGGAGAAGAAGAAGAAAAAGAAAAGGAACTATCTTGGGGCTACATTTCCCTGGCACATATCTGCATCTAATGTGTGGAACACACATTGACTTCAAAGAAAGCTGTGGGGATGGAAAGGTGCCAAGAAAACCAGTTCTGAGATACTAGGGTGACTACAGGCAATTGTTCTTGCAACCCTTTATACTCAGATATAAATTAACATAAAAAAGAATTTTAAAGTCACAGCTGCTTATGTAGCAGTTTATTCAGATCCTATGACTTACAATTAACCAAATACTGTTTTGTTTTCTGAAATATTCTGAACCAATAATTTCATTTTATGTTCAATGTATTGTATTGCAAACAAAATTAGGATCATGCTATGGATATAAGTTATAATTCACATACAAAATAATTTATTAATTTATTCAGAAAAAGACACTAGGACCATCTCATTCATAGCTAAGGAAGAAAATCCTCCATTTTCCCCCAGTACCAGTAGTGTTAATATATATGCATAAATGTCAAGACCTTCAGAAACCTGGAAAGTATTTCCAAGTATGTACACAGAAATATGTACAGGAACAAAGACTCTCTATGAACATACTCAAATGTAAGCTACTGAGTGAAACAAAATGAAGTTGCACAGACCACATCATTCTTGAGACGATATCTTCAAAAAGCTTTGTAGATGCTAGTACATCTTTAAAGTAGTAGTGAAATCACATTAACACGTACAAGACAGCTTTATGAAAGCAAAAGAGAAGACTGTGATGATTAAAATATAATAATGTATGCACATCTGAAATACCATTGTGAAACTCGTTGGTACAATTAATACACATAAAAGTAAGAAAAGCATCAAAAACGTTCTGTTGTGGGCTGTACCTATGAGAAGGGGATAAAGGCTAACAGAGAGGGTGAATGAATATTAATAATGTCAAAGTAATTCATTTGTGTGTAAAAAAATAGAATCTGTTGAAACTGATTTAAGGAGTGGGTAGGAGGTTATGGAAGAGTAATAAGGCAGTGAAGTTGATAGGCATTTAGCATACATGGAAGGGCGTGTCATGATGAAATCCCACCTTATGAAACTAATGCACACTAATAAAAATGTTACAAAGTAGCCTTATGCAGAAAAGAGACAAAAATACAGGATTAAAAATAACAGAAACACCTTTAGTCTTATTGTTACTATTAACTAGTACTACCCTTGGAACAGATAAGGCAAACATTCTTGGCTAAAACAGTAAAGCACTGAAGTTGTCAAAACACTCCTATCTTTCAGAGTAATGAGGAAGTACAGATAAGGTAGATTTTTATGTGATGAGATTTAAAACATCCTCTGCACCCCATCTCACGTTTTATTTGATCTTGTCAATAAGATCAATCATTTTATTCATGTGTTTTTTAATACTGCCTCTCTGGCTAGGAACCTTAGATATATACTGTGAATACTATTGTCATATGTCTTTTGTAGTGAACAGTTTTATCTGGGGATGAATAACAGATAGTCTTTTTTGTATGTGGTATGTATGGGTTCAGTGTAGTCATGGAAGCAGCATGTATAGGAGCAAAGACTTGGATACTACAAGAATAGAGAAAGAATGGCTAACTGATAATCAGTGTAGGGGCGAGTGGGATAGAATAAAAAGAACAAAGGGAAGTTTCAAAATGATGTCATAAAGCAACAAATGACAAGTTAAATGAAAAACAAATGTATGTTGTGCTACTAAAATGGAAGACACAAGCTGGGCACCAGTGGCTCACGCCTGTAATCTAGCTACTCAGGAGGCTGAGATCTGAGGATTGCAGTTCAAAGCCAGCCCAGGCAAAAAAGTCCGTGAGACTCTTATCTCCAATTAACCACCAGAAAACTGGAAATGACCCTGTGGCTCAAGTGGTAGAGCACTCGCCTTGAGCTGAAGAGACAGTGCCCAGGCCCGGAGTTCAAGGCCCACAACCAACAAAAAAAAAGGAAGACACAAAAAGAATATAAATCTGTTGATTTATATATCTACATAAATATACAAGTGTTTATATATATATATATATATATATATATATATATATATTCTCCAGAAAGATAAATCTTTTTGATGAACCTACCTGGTAGTGGTAAAAACTCCATACACAACAGGATTTCTTTCATCTCGCGTGGGGAGTAAATAGATGTCTTCTGTTAATGGGAAAAAACATGACACTTTATTTTTACACATTATATGTTTGCATTAAATAATATACTTCTGGTAGTCTAAGCAGCATATAAATGCATTATATATAGTATACCTTAAGAAATTAAAAGTTTTCTTGCTAGTTATGTGACATTGAGTTGAAAATTTAACCTCTTGGATATTTATTTCAGTTATTCATGAATAAGAGGATATAATGGATAATAACCTCTATGACTGTTTCCAACTAAGTATAAGTGATTGTGGGAACAAGAAAATGCAAGAATATTTTATCCTCTAGCACAAAAACACGTTTCTTGTGATGATATCAACTTAGTAATTAACTTATCTTTTTGTCAACAATATGAAAATAATTACACATGTAAATTATACACAAATGATATTTTCAAGGATTATTCAATATGTGAATGTGATCATACAAAACAGGAGGATCATCATGAACAGCAAATATACACTTTAATATAATAAGACAAAATACTAATGAAATAATTCAATGATGTAGTGACTTACATACACACCAGAAGGATTAAAGAAGGGGGAATGAACCCCAAGATAAGTACTCAATTGTTTGTTTTTTCTTTCATGCAATTGTTTCTAACATATTGATAAGATGATTTCTTTGTTGCTTTTATGTCCCTCCCCCACGGTATAACCCCTGCTTCCACTGTGTTTGATGTTGGTATAATTTGTGGAGGGGAAGGGAAAAAACAAATCATTTAACTAGGGACACAGGTGGACCCATTGCCACAATGAGATGTACAAGACCTTATGCCGAAAAATGAATCTTACAACTTTGCTGGGGGTGGGGAGGATCAGGTGGAGGGGGAGGGGGAGTATGGGAAGGGATGGGAAGGGGAAACAAAGAGGAGGCAACATTGCTTGATAAGAAATGTACTCGTTATCTTGCCCATGTAACTGTAACTCCTCTGTACGTTATTCTCACAATAAAAATAAAAAAATAAGTTTATTAAATAAAGCTGTCAATTTTATCTACAACTTAAAAACTCCTTTTAGAATTAGTTTTGGGAGAAATGAAGAGGAAACATTAGAGAATAATGTATTTTTATTGCTGAAGGACCAAATTCATAGGTTTCTCATAGACTCCAGCAGAGGGCATCAGTGCAGTAAGGAAACCAAGGTTTTCATGCCTGTATATTTGGCTCACAAAGAAGTAAAAGAAAGCAGGAGAGATACTTGGACTTTGAGACCATTAGTTTATATCTTTCTTTCACTTGCTGTGATATTGTTTCCTTCACAAACCTTTAGGATTCCTACAAATGAACCTCTTCGTTATCATGCTGGAGCTAACTGGTAGTAAAACTTTTCCAGGAAAGATAGAGTATGTGACTTACGAAGCTCATCAAAATGAGTATCTGCCCCATCTCTTCCAGGAATTGAGCATACCAATCTAGCCTTCAGGAAAGTTGTCCATTTGTTTATCAGGCTGCGTTGTCCTCCTACATCATTCTGAAAAATGGAAAATAAATATAAAAATAAAAATGTACCAATGGGTTCTATCACCATCTATAACTTTTTTACTGTTAACTGTCACTATTAGAGACAACACTATAATGGTATCATTACTTACAAAGGAACATAATTTGTGGATCTTTCTAGATTTCCAAGTGGTTTTTGAGTAATACATGTTATTCTCATGATTAAATGAATTTAATGTAAGTGGTTTAACTTTCTAAATTAGTATATGACTGCAAGACTACAATAATGAAAACAGGCTTGGAATCAAATCCAGTGCCTGCCAGTATTTTTGTTTCATGCCTAATAAAAGATGAATTCCCCAGGTTTTTCTTTACTTACTGGTAAAATATGATTAATGTCTTGAGATGTCATTATTTTGATAGCAATATTACTATTAATTATTAAACATAGTTTTAGGCAACTTGTATTCAATAACTTACTTGTATTTATATTATTTAAGATTCCTTGGTACAATTAATAAACACTAAAAAAAAAAGAATGCCAGGAAAGAAATCAGCTGTGGAGGAAGGATACCATAGATGAAGGAAGGACTAGGTTGCATGAGAATGAATATGATCCAAGTATTTGATTTGCATATACAACAAGAGAACAATGAAACCTGCTAAAGGTGTTTTAACAAGCAGGGAAAGAAGGAGTTAGGGCCATTGGCTATATTGTATGCTTGTGTGTGTGTATGTGTGTGTGTGTGTGTGTGTGTGTGTGTGTGTGTGTGTACGTATGTGTGTTAGTGATTACTGAGAGATATAAGAATCTTGTGGATTTTCCTGCTGAGGTCGGTTTTGAACCGTATCCTCAGATCTGAACCTCATAAATACTTAGGATTACAGACATGAGCCACTGGTTCCTTGCTTACTCTAGTTTTTTAATTTTTGTTTTAGGAGTTTTACATAATCTTTAGATTAATGAAATAAGCATGATTATACTATTCGAGATAATTCAACTTAAAAAGCTATATTTCCTATTTAAATATAAAGGTGTTCTTTTACACACTAATATGATTTTTAATTTACTTGAGTCAATGAGTTCTCCTGTGCCTACAATAAATAAAATGCAAGTAATTCATTAAATGATTGATCATTATATTTTAATTTTAAAGAATTATACTTGGAGTCATAATTCCCATTAATCTGTTTACATTTAAATATACATCAAGTAAAACTTTGCATTTTCATCCTATGACTTATTACATTCTGAAAAGATAGCTGACAAGACTCATGTTTGAACTATCTTTGTGCTTCTTTATTGTGGCACCAAAAATAGAAGAAAATAACAAATTGCTAATGTAAGCAAAAGAATTCTAAGCACATTAAAGTCGTCCTTTCTAATTTTACAACAAATGGAAGCAAGACAAAGAATAAGAGAGAAAGAGACAGAGAGGGGCAGGGGAAACAACATTCTCTAGGTTCCTTTAGTTTTAGCATTTGAGATCAGGTGGGAAGTGATGATGGGCCACCCAGAGTGAATTATTTATTACATGCTTTTTTTACAGTAAAAGCTCAATAAAATTTAATAATAATGATAATGTTCTTGATATGTTCTTTAGATATGTAACAAAAACCAATTCAAAAAGAATTTTGAAATATAAAGGCAATAATATTCAGGATATTATTTCATATATGACTGAAAATCTTTGCAGCTAATGAATAAATGATAAGATCTCAATTTTTACTGCCTTACATTCTTTATTTTTTTGTCAATCATGAGGCCTGAACTCTGGGACTTGGTGCTCTCTCTGAGCTCTTCAGCTCAAGGCTAGCACTCTTACCACTAGAGCCACAATGCCACTTCTGGCCTTTTCTGCTTATGTAGTCCTGAGGAATTGAACCCAGGGCCTCATGCATGTGAGGCAAGCACTCTACCATCGAGACACCTTCTCAGCCTATCTTATACTCTTAATCATTAAAATGTTCCAAATTATTATGAGCTTTTACAAGAATAAGTCTGAAGCTTGGTTCATGTGCACTATATATGTGTATTTGTATATACATATATATGTATATATCTTTTCACATACATGTAATATACACATAAATGCATATGTATATATACACAATAGAAACACAAATTTAAACACATCAATTGCTTAATCATACAAGCTAAAGAATATTTTTAACAGTAAAATTCACCAGTACAGTTTAGAATTGTTGACTTGTGATAATAAGACAATACACTAATAGCTCACAAGAAAATACACTAATTCTGGATGTCATTAGCCTATTTCCCATCAAGCTATTAATGAAAATATGTTTAACAGTAAGTTCAACAAAGACAGAAGACAGTATTGGTAAGTTTTTAGAAAAGAAGACAGAAAAGAGAAACTTCTCTGAAGAGGAAATAAGAATAGCCAATAGACACATGAACAAATGCTCAACTTTTCTAGCCATAAAAGAAATGCAAATCAAAACAACATTGAGATTCCACCTCACTCCAGTTAGAATGACTATAATCAAGAAATTTAATAACAATAGATGCTGGAGGGGATATGGCCAAAATGGAACCCTACTGCATTGTTGGTGGGAGTGTAAACTTGTTCAACCACTCTGGAAAGAAGTATGGAAGTTCCTCAAAATATTACACAAAGAGCTCCCCTATAGCAGCATTATTCACCATAGTTAAGATATGGAACCAACCCAGATGTCCCTCAGTAGATGAATAGATCAACGAACTTTACAACTTTGGTGGGGGGAGGGGGGGAAACGGGAAGGGGAAATAAAGGAGGAGGCAACAATGCTTGATAAGAAATGTACTCATTACCTTGCTCATGTAATTGTAACCCCTCTGTACAGTATTTTCACAACAAAAAAAGAAAATGTGATATATATATATATATATGCATACATATATATCACATATATATATACCACATATATATCACATTTCCATTATATATACATACATGTTGTATGTATATATAATGGAAATCTATGCTTCCATAAGAAAGAATAGCACCGCCCCATTTGTTAGGAAATGGAAAGACTTGGAAAAATCATATTAAGTGAAGCAAGCCAGACTCTAAGAAACATAGGTCCCATGGTTTCCCTTACTTGCAATAACTAGTATACATTTAGGATAATCTTATCAGATGAGCCAAAAAGCTTAAAAGCTATGTATATAATACCATATTAGATGATGGTAAGCAAAATGGAGCCCAAGATATGAACAAAAGAGGTTTTTCTATGTTGTTGTTGTTTTTAAGGTACTATGTGATTTTTTTGTTTCTTTTGTTCTTTTCCCTATGGTGTATTCTCTATTGTCACTGTACGTAATTTTGGTACCCTGCATCTTGTATATACATTTACCTAATTTAGGGAGGGGAAGGGGAATAACAAAATACTGAAACAGGGACACAAGATAACTCATTGTAACAATGATACTAACAAGACACCATGATGGAAATGATCTTTACAACTTGGTGTGGGAGAGTGGGGGGGGGGGGGGTGAATGGAAGGGAGAGTAAGAGAAAAACAATGTACTCATTAACTTACTCATATAACTGTAACCCCTCTGTACAGCATCTTTACAATAAAATAAAATTTAAAAAAACATTTTTTTATAAAAGAAAAGTAGACAGAGTCAAAAAGATTGTCCTCTCCTGAAATTTCTTCATTTTCAGGAAAAAAAAAACTCTCAAGCAAGACTGGATTTAAAACTAAGTTTATTGAGTGATAAGTGAGGTTATACTCACCAATGTAAAGACAAGTTTAGGCACTAGTTTCTAACCATTATGGGGAAAGATGATGGATAGAGCAAAAGATGATAGATGGGAGAAGCAGGACAAATTTACTTTAGATGATGATTGGGATCAATAATGGATCAAATAAACTATTTAATATTACTAAAAAATAAAGTAGTGAATATAAGTACATTGGGATAAAATCACTGGAAGCTTCATTACAAGGTCAAAGTACCTATATTTAAATATGTAATGAATTACTCAATAATATAGTAATTATGAAAAAGTAAAATAATCTTTCTTTTAAGAAAACCATAGTGTTTTCCATTTAATGACTATTTGATAACAAGCATGTCTGGAATTGCTCTGAATTTCCTATTTTGTATATGGTACTTGCATTTTTTCAGTATCATGGCTCAAGTATTCCAGTCAGTAATGGATAACTTTGGATTTCTGCAGATGTGAAGGCAGACTTATTTTGAAAATGTCTTATTTTTAATACTACTCCAAGATTATTTTATAAATATAAATCTAGATGCCAGAATAAATTGTCAAAATACTGATGTTTATGTTTCGTTTTATGTGTGTATGTGGCAGTGGTATGACTTGAATGCAAGGCCTGGGCTTTATCTCTAAGCTTTATTACTCAAAACTAGCACTCTACCAATTGAACCAAAGCTACAACTTGAGCTTTTTGATGATAAATTGGAGATAAGAATCTCATGGTCTTTCTTGCGGTAATCCTCAGCCCCCCTAAGTAACTAGGACTAGAGGTACGATTCACTGACAACTGGCTTCACATTTCTTTTAACCCAATGATCATTTCTGTATTAATGAGCAATAGAATTCCAGTGATAATATGTGTATTTGAAATTCTCAGAAAGGAATTTTTTTCACAGAACTTAAAAACAAAGGAAAAGTCATTGCTTTGCCTTTTCATAATCCTTGATTTATGTATTTTTAAAGTCACAGATTTTACCTTTGTGTGCTGTTAACATATCCTTAGTTGTAATAAGCAAAGCCTTAATAGTTTTCTTTCAATGTATTACTTTATATATGAATAATACTACTAATAATAGTATAATGAATAATACTAATAATAATGAATAGAGTAATGAATAATGGTAACAATAATAAAATAATGAATACTACCAATAATAAAATACTATTCTTTCTTTCTTTCTTTTGATAGTCAGTAAATATCTAAAAATAGTGTTGATTCACTATAGATATAGAAATATAACAGTGATCATTAATCAAATGCCACAGACTGTGTTCGATCTACTACTTTGTCCTC